ACAGAACTCTTCTTAAAGATACATTTTTTAATGTTGGCACTACCATTTTTGTTTTACATTAAAACTTCCTACTAGTGTTTTAAAAATATTTTTCTGTAGACTAACATGGTTTTAGCTTTGTTATAACAGCTTATGTGGTTGTGTGAATAAAATTTATGCTAGTACACTAGTAGCCACATTATACTTGTGTACAATCTCAGTCATATTGTTTCTATCCTAGTAAAGATCAAGTATAGAATTTGCAACATTTGGTAGACAAAAAATGTGTTTGCAAACCGGATTGCAGTTCCAATACTCAAAGTATTAAGTAAACTGAAGTGAGCATTTAAGTCTAGTCTTTCCTCATTATATTGAATTATATTCAGAGGCAATTTTTAGTTTTACTTCAGCGTAGAGCAGCTTCTGCATGAAGACAATGGATAAATAAACCTCTTTAGCTTCCATCCTTAAGTCTTCGTCCTTCAGGAGGTTTGAAATTTGCACAACTTAAAATTTCATGGTTCCTTTGCATTTTGTATTGTTGGTTTTGTCAACAGAGTTTGGTGGTAAGATTGATCAAGTACCAGCTTCTCTCTGGAGAACAGCACTTTTCTCTAAGTGGGTTACTGGTTTGTGGGAACATGTTAGGTCTGCATATGCTTGGTTGGACTTTCTCCCAAAGCACGATGGAAAAGCTAGGGTGGGCAGAATATTCCCAGGCATTAAAATGGTGAGGGGGGAAATAAGTGATATTGAAGACTTTTCAGATTATCTGAGAGTCAGGCAGATAGGGCTGGTCTCAAGCCCTTAGTGTAATACACCTCAAAAATGAGGACTATATAGTACTGCAAGTGACTGAATTAAGGACAACTGAGTGAAGGAAAGACAGCAATAGTCAGATTAGCATGGTACAGAAAATAGGGTTATTGCCTCTAACATGAAAGCAATGAAGAAAATTATGCATCTTTACTGAGAACATAGGTGGGTACAAGTAAGTTTTTATCAGTTGTTACGCTGCTATGCACTAGTGCTGTGCACTATGACTTACAACAGTAGAGGGAGACCCAATGTAACTTGTAACACCATACATGTTACACCATGGTGTAACACCATACAACACACATACTTGTAACACATTGACTTTTGATTTTGCTTGAAGTATTTTCAGACTGATGAATTGCCATGGAAAAGGGTAGATATATGTACAGGCTATATAAATCAATGTTTCAAGCCTTTTATTCACAGATTTTGTTCAGTTGCGATGATTTTATTTTACTTTCATGGACATAGTAGGATAGAAGTTGTGATCTACAAATTTTTTGAGGTGTAATCAATCGAATTATTTTGAGTAACTAGTCTAAGTGCATTGCTGCCTCAAAGTCTGAGAGAATAGCTACCTCTTTGAAATAGGGAAATTTGCATCTAAAAGGCACCTTTGGCTCAGTCAGCTGTGTTGATAGTTACTCAGTGTCACCTGTTCTCTGTTAAAGCTTAACCAGTTTGCTAAACTAACATCTATCTAAACCATTGAGATGTAAAGGCTTATATATTAAAAAGGTAATGCTAATTTCTTTTATGTATCATATCTTAATTTTTTACTAGGTAAATGCTAAGGGACTTAAAACTTTCTGTTTCCAGAAGTTGCACTGTAGTTCTCACTAACTTAAAATACTCTAAAATTATTTTGATCTTTCTGCAGTGCTTTAGTAAATTAACAACTTTGCTCCTTAGCCACAATACCTGTGAAAGAGTATTTGCTTTGTGACATTCCTACAGTTCTTTGGAGAAGTTGGTAGGTATATGGCTTCTGTAGCCACAATAAGGAGCAAGTGTGTGCAGTGAACCATCTCTGATCTTTGTAGTGCTATTCACTATTGTACAGAGCCAGCTCGGTCCAAGTCTGAAGGTTATATTTCCTTAAGGGAGCTTTATCTCTGATAAAATCTTAAACCTCTTAACTTCTAGATAGAAGAACATATCTTTTCCGGTTGTTAAGGCTGAAGTGTATTCTTGGGGTGTGTGTTTAGTGTATGCAATAGAAGATCCTAACATGGAAGTTTCTTTGCATTGTCAAGAACAGAAATACTAATGATTTGACTATAAAAGTACTGTCATGTAGTTGACATCTGTCACGGGTTTTATTTAAAATACAATGGTCACATCAGAAGCATGTTTTACGAACTTTCATTGTGACTTCAGATTTATGGAAATTTTGTATGAAGCCAGCTTTCATCTTCCTGAGATATGAAAAAATCAGGAAGATCAGCTATATCAGATTGTCAGTTACTTTGGTCCTCACAAAAATACACTAATGATACCACGTGAAGGATGTTCCTGCGTACTACAGAAACAGATAAAATGTGCAGAATGTGGCTCAGGGTGGGGAAAGAATAGAAGAAGTCTGGTGCCATAGGTTCAGGCCTGTTAAAAAATACTTCCTGTTGTTTCTGCTCACAGGAAGGTTAAATATTTGCTCTTCTGGAGAGATCCCACATAAACACTGGGGAGGTAAATGAACTCCTGATTGAGCTATTGGTCTAAGATTTTGTGGGCTTGTGTGCCATCTGGCTGCTTCTGGAGCTGCTTGTGTAGTTTCTCATTTTTTCATAGCCTTGGAGCATGTCTTGATCTAGTGATGACTTGTTCCTCCTAGTATCCCTTCTTTGAGTGGCTGGCTGAGTTTTTTTAGTTAACAGACATCTAACTTGAATTACTTAGTGATGCTGACAAATGAAAAAATACTCCACTCACCTTAAATGCAAGAGGAAGCGCAGCTTTTGTTAAAGTCTGCTGCTAACACGTCTACTTGTGGTGGAGAGTGAAAGGCATTTTACTAACAGTAGTAGATTACTGATTTATCCCACATAAGTAGATTTATGAATGATACCTCTTTAGTGCCCTCTTCCCCATAGTACAAAAGCACAAGCACAGCATAATCTTACCTACAGCTGTTGTTCAAAATGTTGATGATATCCCATTTTTGTCTGTGAATGTGCAGTCAGCATTCATCTTTTTTTGAGTGAGGCTTTTGGAAACGTGAGAAAATAATAATGATGGGTTTGTATTTTAAATAATTTTTTTGTACTGTAGTGTGGAAGCCACATACAATATGGGGGGAGTAAATTCTCTTTCACAAGCCACTAAAGCAACTGCAATTGAGAGAGCAGCCTTTGATTATGGCTATCTCTGTGCCATAACCAGTTAATCCCAGTGATGTATGTAATTGTTGTTGAAGATGGATTCTAATAACTTTCATAATGTGATTTGAGCCTAAATAAGAATATTTTTTAATAAATACATTAGATTTGTGCAGGCTGATGTACTTGATTAATATTATAATGCTTGTTGCACAGTATCATAGTGATGTTCTGGCATTTGTGTTACTGTCAAGATGAAAGGTATTTGCTGTTCTAGAAGTAGGTTTTACAGAAATCCATTGGATCAATGCCTAGAGAATTGTTGCTTAGTTAAGAAAAAAAGGTCTATTTTCCTCATTAGTCAGAAGAGTTGAGTTCAAGAAAACAGAAAAAAACATTTACAAGAAGAAAATAAAAGCTCATGCTAACCTGATACCTTGATTTTTATCTTCCAATCCTAATAAATCAAATTTCCAGGCAGTTATTCTGAGGGAAATAGGGCGATTATGACCATGTTTCTTTGACCAGTTGCCTCACTTTCATCTTAGGTCCTGTATTGTTTTATCTACCTCACTTTATCAGAAGATTTAAGCCCTAAAATAGATTTTAATTGCTAATGATGTCTGTGGATAATTTTCTGCACACTTTACAATTTTTCTGAAAAAAGCTGTGATGATGTCATTCTATTATTGTGAATTTTTTTAATATGCTGAAATATCTGGAAGAATACCTTTCTTGACCAGAAGGTATGGCAGTTTAGTAGTTCAAATAGTTCTCAAAAAGAAGGGTTTGGGGAATGAGTGTTCTTCAACAAAACATGCACAGCACTTTTGTATATCTTTGACCTTTTACCTTTATCTTTCCTTCCTACTCAAAAGGTCACTGTTCTTCAGAACTTTTAACTTCTTTTGTTTGTAACAGTCACTGTATGTTCATATCTCCTTAATTATGTGTTTTTATGTATTGCAAAACAAAAATCAATAAAGAGCATTTACTCAAAAGGAGATCTCGCAAGGCACAAAGGCAGTGAGGAAAGAATTATCAAGTTAATCACAAAAGCCTGCTCCTACCTTTACTCCAATTTCAAATACAATGAAGACCATCTCAATGGCTGAATTGAAAATGTGTTATCAATGTGCAGATTTTTGCATCATTTCTTTCAAAAAAATAATCCTTTTGAAGTAAAATGGCTGATGAAACTGCTGAGTAGATGCCTCTATATGATTCAAGCTTGTATTTATAGAATAAATGTGTTTATTTCAGAACAAGGAAAATATTTTCCTTTTAGAGCACAACTCTAGAATCCACAGGTTTTCATCTTGCAGACAAGTAGGTACACATTAAACGTTAGCAATGCCATTTGATTGCTTGCCTTAGTTATGTATTTTAATAGTTCAGTAATAGTTATGAAGAACAACCTGGTGTTTCTAGACTTATTCAGTATTTTGATTTAGCTTTTAAGAAGTGTTGGACTGTATACAACTTTTCAAACCACTGGTTTTGATTTAAATCTCTATCTCCGTGCTTATGCTTCAGGAGTATTTAGGAAGGTTTCCTATTCCAATGCTTAAATCATAGGTATTTCATATTCAAATTTGTTACTGAAAACACTGCAGATAAGGTAGAAAGTTTGGATACATGTTTGTTTATGGCTATATATTGCCAGAACCAGCTTATATGTATTTGTAAACCAGCTGTACTTCTCTTGAGGTCAAATGGTTTTGTAGTCCTCTGGTAATAGTCAGTGACAAGAACTAAATGCCAAATGGATTAGTATTGCTGCTATTTAACATAAATAACAAGTACTAAAAGAAATTTCTTTATGGTCAAGAATAATCTACATGAAGACAGCAATTAGAGGTAACTTTATACTAATTATTACAGGTACTGCTGTAAGCAAATGAAAGCTTGTGATTTTCATGAATTGAGATACCGAAGAGTAGGATTCTTGCTATACCACCATGTCTGGTTGACAGTTGACTCTGTGTGCATTATTCCAGAAACATTTCTTATGTGACCAAATAACCATGTTGGAATAAAACTACATTTGGTTAAAAAGGTCAGTTATAGATAGGACTACAGTCTTTACCTGAAACTTTGCATGAAAATTTAGATTAATTTAGATTAAAGATATTTGATGATTGCTACCATTGCCAAGCAAAGGATGACAAAAATAAGACCTGTAGTTATTGTCCTGTCTGTTTTTCCAGTTGCCCATATGTACATGTACTTCCACACACGTGGACATGTGTGTTCTCGACTTCTTCCTAGGTCCCACTAACCTAGTCCAAAGCAATCATCTTAAATCTCCTCCTTTGAAGCCCATGTTACATCCCTCACTTTTATGTATAGTATAAGATTCCTTCAGATTTTTATTTTCCATTGGGTTCCTCTTAATCCATATATATATACATGTATATTGGGGCAGAGCTTCTTGCTGATTTGGTGGATAGGTGCTGTTGCTGGTATATTGATTCCCTTGCAGTGCTAGGAGGATTTGTTGGCATAAAGATCCTTTTTTCTTGCACAAGATGAAAGCAAACACATAATGTGTTCATCACTTCATCCTGGAGTTGTTTCAGATTCTAAGTGTATGAAACTTACTACACTGATTGTTATTTCAGTTTTTCAAGGTTATACAGCTACAGTACCTGGCTTTTAAAGAAACAAAGTTGAATTTTGGAGGAAGATTTAAGCAGTGTGCTAAAAGTGCAAGAAGAGGGTTTTTTTTGTGGTGTAATCAGAATTCTGCATCCAGGGATTTATTTCTATTTTTCCTTTGGTTGGCAGATGTGTTTGTAGGTTTTCTACTCTACCATCATATGTGAGGAACTGTCATAAAAAAATTCCAACCAAACAACCCTACAGCTTAAATTGAACTGGAAGTAAATTCTCTGAAGACGGATGTTAATAACTCAGTTTCTTCTGTTGTAAGGTCAGTGAAACAGTCCTTTAATTTTGTTAATACTACAAGTAGAAGTTTAAAATCAAGTGTGCAAATGAAGGAGGGAAAAGCTTACAGTAGAAATTAAAACTTGAAATTTAAAGAATATCCTGCTTTATTTGTTATCTACAGGGCCAGCTTTTCAGCAAGTAAAGAATTATATAATTGCATTTGCATATTGTAGGGATCAAGAGATTAGCTACTTACAGGTTAGGATGTTCATCGAGTTGTATCAGATCAAAGCTGCACGTTAAAAGAATATACTGGTTTTACCTCCAAAATCTTCAGTGTTGTGGGTGTATGAGAATTCTGGAGGGGAAAAGTTAAAATTTTGCATTATATTGCTCTAATCCTTTGTCTTCTGATGCATTTCTGTCTGTCATTTTATTTATAGCTTGAAGCTGCAGTGTGAAACAAACATAAAGAAACTGTTACCCAGAGGTGGAATTAGTGTGGTTTACTTTCAGCATATAGGACTTGATGAGAGTATATTTGGATGTAATTTAAAAAATCAGGGATTTAGGCATCTTACTACCATTAACATTGAGGAGTGATAGAAAGCTGAAGCTGTCACCTTCTATAAATTAACTTGGCCTAATGCTTAAGTGATTATCATGGTGAGTGAATACTATTATGAATAGTGAAACATGGAATAAAAATAATAAATACATCTAAGGTATTTTAAGGGTGATTTAAGGCCATGTATGTAGCATAGCACCACACTCCTAGAGTATTTAACTATTGAAAGATAATTTTTAAAGCTATTTTTAATTTTGTCCTATATGTAGCAAATCACTGGAGATTAAGAAACTATGAATGACATAATTGTTCATTTTTAAAACCTTTAAATTTAGGATTCCTGTCTTATTGCTTAGGTTGGGGAAAAAAATAGTGTTGTACGCTATGTACAACAATGTATTTTTTGTAATAGGTATATTAAACTTTAATTGCAGTGTCTTGCAAATGCAAAACTTGCTGATGTAGTTGCTGTTTTTTAATAGATCATTGACCCGTCAATCAGACTCTGACCATTTCAGAGATAAAAAGCTGGGATTTCATTGGCTATTTTGACTAGAGCACCTTTCCACAAATTAAGAAATGGTGTAATAATTAACAGGTATAATGGATATGTGCATTCAGGTTTCAGTTCTATCTTTATGAGCTTTAGCTCCTGTTATCTTTGGTGTAGTTAACCCCCTGTCTCCCCACAGATAATTTAACCGCGGTATAAAAATGGATTTGTTTTGTGGCAGTGGTATTTTGCTAATGTGATAGATTATATTTTTTTGCTCATTTTTAAGATCTGTAACAAGAGCTATTTTTTTTTCAGACTCTTTCTTTAAAACAAGGCACAGAACTTCACTACTAAAACTCATTAAATAAGTAATAATACTGTTCTAAAGAAGCATAGCAAAGATTCATTAAACAATTTTGCATATGGAGAGTTTACCTAAACTTTTTTTTTCCTGATTTGCAGACTTAAATGGCTCTAAGTGCTGATGATTCCTGGTAGTGGAATTTCATATCTTTTACCTAAAAAGTCGTTCAGAAATTGCCAAAGCGCGTCATTCAATAGTGGACTCATTAGGTCAACTAGGAAGTAGGTAGAGGTCACTTACCATTCCTAAGCTTTAAATGTCTTAAGAAAAATCAAAATTTTAGTTTTGAAATTACAAAAATTCATTAAATAACATCAAGATTCAATTGTTTTGATGTAATATACTTGCACTGCAACATATGAATCAGGAAAGAACATCCAAAGTTTAGAGAAGTTATGGAAGTGGAAAGTTAAGGAAAACTTTAATTTATTTATAATTTTTATTAACCTTTAAACATGACAGAAACCAAAAGAGAAGTGAAAGTTAAAATGAGAGGCAGAGAAAATACTATATAACTGCAAGTTTACCAAGGTATAAAAGTTATTTTGGTTTTGAAAAGTGTTTCCCTATTAAAGTATTATTGACATCTCAATTAGTGTATCAGTCTGATTTCACATCTATTATATGCAATACTGTTTCAGGTGTGTTCTTATATACCAGGTATTTATTCAGAACAGATTTGTATAGAGGTTCACATCTTTAGTAAACTCACTTTTGTACTAGAAATTGGCATAGCCATCATCCTATTGTAAATTCAATTTAATCTATTTCAGGGAAATTCAGTTGTTTCGTGACATCAATTGTCCCTATATGTATACAGTAGTAGATCTTGGCAGTGTTCAGTTTTTGTTATCAGCAGCTCACAGATTTTTGTCATTGGTGGGGTTTTAGTCCTGTAGTAAATAGGTTACTTTTTATTATTCATACATGTTCGTCATGTCGGTGCTACCTAGCTGTAAGGCAAGCTTATAAAAGCAAATACTCAGGTGTTTGTCTAAAAAGAGTATTTTGGAAGTACTTAACAAAAAGCCCATGCTTGAATATGATTCTTCAGTGATAATGTTCCTTAAAGTGTTAACTAATTAACTTATTGTTCAACCCTGATTATAGGAAGAATACATTTGAAATGAAACAGGATATTGCTGGAAGTAGAGTGAAATACAATTGCATTTCTAGGATGTTAGACTTACTTTTCTACTGAACTTCAAGTATTGAAAAGGTATGTTTAGTCTCTGAAATATAAAGTTATCTAAAAGGGGTTTTTTGTTACTGCTTTCTGGTTTTAAGCTATAAAATGCAAAAAAATGCTCTAATATCGTGTGTGAGGCCCTGCTTTATATTTCTATGAAGTAGTCTAGGACACTTGGGAGTTTTTTTAATTTTAATGTTGGGTACTTTATGGCATTTTAAGTACCAACTTTTCTATGAATACAAAATCTCTGAAAGGTCTTGCAGCTGGAGGTTGCAAACTGGCCTCTAAACATACTGTTGTAATAATCTCATCTATTTAGCAACCAAATTGCCCTTCTAGTGTCCTCAGTACTCATCAAGAACTGAAGCATTCAATGGGATCAATTACAGTGTAGTTGAATCTCACTTTTTCCTTATAAAACTTAGAACTCTGGTTTTTATAAGCTTACTCTGAGGGCATAGAAAGTAGGTAAGCAAATTATTTTGTCCTGAACATGTTTTAAATTAAGGTTAAATTAAATTCACTTAAATTAAGATTTCTGTCTCCCTGAAGCTTGATGCAGAAATGCTTGAGAATTTTTGCAGAATTATGAAAAGCCTCTGAAATCTCTTTGAGGTGAAAGACATGTCAAAAGACAGTAAAACTTGAATACAATGCTATTTCATACCTGTGACAGGTTGATATTCAGCACGTGTAGAAGGTGGTCAAGACTGAAGTGAAATAGCCACTCACTGTACCAAAGCGCAGTTTGGAAATGACTGATTGTTTCATTAGTCTTTGAACTTGTGTCAGAATTCTGCTGTTCACCCTCTTTGTACTATAGATGTGGAAGAAATCTTTTGTAATTCATCTGAAGCTTTTATTCACTTTAACCTCCTGATTAAGAGCCATTTATATTGTTGTACTATAGAGTACCTAATTAAGAAAGCTACCCATCTGTAATGGCTGTAACCAAGGTAATAACAAATGAAAAAGCTATCAGTAGACTTAGACATTTTGAAATGGAAGAAATTATTTAATCTCATCAGGTTACAATTCTGAAGCTCATTTGAGGTAGTGGTAATGTTTTCTGTTTGTCATAGGAGACCTGTTACTGAACTTGTTTTTAAATCATGTATTGGACAGCCTTTTATGTACAAAACTTGTTTTTAACATCACACAGAGATTCAACCTCGCTATCACTTTTTGTTGCCTTTCCCTTCTTGCTTGATTCATAATTTTAGTGTTGAACTGTAAATTCTGTCGTCTTGGTTATTTGTATATTACCATTCTTTAATTACATAATTTGAAACTTTCACAAGTATGGGAATTATCCTTTAAAAGCTGCGTTCTTATGAGCCTGAATTTAAATGTACAACTACGGAAGTTTTGATACTCCAATCTTTTAAGTATTATTCATTTTGCAATGAGCATAAAACTGAGCAATACCAGATACAGTATTTTGTAGCTTCTTTGTATTATGGCATCTAATTTTAGTGCTTGTATATTGTTTTTCCAGTTACCCCTGTAATATACCTGGGATCAGTGTTCCATGTTTATAGGTTTTCCATATTATTGTGGGTTTTATGACTGTAGAGATTTATCGACCCCTGGTGGCTTGTTAGGAAAATGGTTGTTAATTTAGTAAGTGCTAAGGCAAAAAACTAAATATTTTTCAATACTGTATTTGTTTGAATGTTCTTTTTCTGTTTGCAGCTGGATTGGCTCCTGAATTTCATTTGTGGCGTTCCTACCTCTGCAGAATTGCCTATTGCAGCAACTTCTGTTGACAACATTCCCAAAACATGTAGCCAGGTGTCCGCATTTTAGTGAACACTTGTAGCTGTAGTTGAGTCTCTTTTTTGAAATTACAGTATTGCATAAACTTGGGGGAAAAAAAAGAAAGGCTCTTTTTATGGTGTAAGGTGGGCTTATTTTTAATAAGCTAGGAAAAGCTAATAACTTCTTGGTTAGTATGATATTATGTAAATGAATGAAACATAATTCTAAATTAGCTGCTCATGTTTCACTGACCTCTTGGTTCTTATTAAATATAACTTATCAGTAAAATCCTGAAACCTTCCATTTCATGAAATAATCACTTAATAAATTATTTCCATGATAAACCAGCATGTAAAATATTGCCTTTCTAGCCAAGTTTTGAACTCATTTTAAATAGCCATGGTATTTTTAGTCATTTAGTTGAAATTGTAATTTTCTGGGAGGTTAAATGATCTTCTAACCCTTCTGTGAAGGTTTTCCATAAGCATCTATTTCACATGGATTAAAATGAGTTACGGAATAGTGAATTCACATTTGGCTGTTTAATTAGCAGTAATAAATGAAGATAAGTCTGTTCAATAATTAAACTTAAATTGAACTTCACTGTGATTCTGCATCTGCTACATGTTTCCAAGTATCAGAATCAGAAATTAAGCCCTATTGTAAATAACTTATTTTTCTATGCAAGTTTGACACAATAAATAACTCTCTTTTTATACATTTAATATTAAGGCTTTAAGTAGCAAAGTGGTATTTTTACCAGTTAAATTATGAAATACTCCTTTGAATCTTTGGTATTTTTAATTCTTAAGAAAAAACCAAATATAATTTTTGGCATTTACTAATATTTAGCGTTGTGTTTGTTGCATAAACCATATTGTTTAAAGTCAAACTTATAAAGCAATCTAAAATGTCAAAAAGACCTCAAATTCATATTTTTGTGGGAGCACCCAGTATTCTAAGCCCATTGGAGGTGTCAGAGCAAAGTAGTTCAGGCCCTGCAGCTGAAAAATGGAGAGAACTCCGGTATTCGTGTGACCTACATAGTCTTTTTTCTGAAAAAGTCAAAGGTGCTGACCATGGAGTGTTTCAGGCAGAAAGCTCTATAGTCAGAGCAGCTCCTCTAAGTGGTGACAGCTCTCAGCAGTCTCAACGGGAGAGACTGATGGTAGCAAAAGAATGTTTGACACCTTTTGTACCTGTGGCAGTAACTTGTAGTACCACACCTAAAAAGACTGAAAGCTTAATTTATTCTGATTGTCAAATATCTAAAGATAGATGCACACATGCAAATGTAAATCAGGCTGCAGATGGACACCCTCCTCAAAAATTTGCAAAATCATCTAGGCAGGATAAACAATCACATGGTGGCTGTTCAAACCTCACTGAAGGAAAAGCCAGTCATTTAGAAGTTAACAGCTCTGACATTTCTGATTTGGTTGCTGGTACTAAGCAGATTAGCATACATCTAAGATCTGCGGGACAAAGTGTTCAGTCAAATCACAGAAGTGATCACCATGAAGATCTAAGTCAATATCTGGATATGTTTTTCCCACAAAATCAAGACTCAAAACCGAAAGGAGAACCACGTGATTGCTCAGGCCTTGCAGTGTCAACTGATACTGAATTTCGTAGTATAATGACTTCAAGTCAGATGGCTGTTTTTGCACAAGATCGAAATGAGCTGCAGAATAGAATCATAAAACTATCAGAAACAGAAGGTGGCAAAAAACCTGAGGAAAGTCAACATGATCACTCGCAATTTGATTCTAATGTTGGAAGGTGTCTTGATGTGGCTGAAAAAGAATATATAAGTTCCCTTGAACTTTTCAGTCCTGAGGATGATGGGAAAAATATTTGCTTTGGAGCCGTAAAACAAGAAGGAAGTGTTCAGGACAATACAGAGAAGTCTCAAGAACTTAATGTTCCTGCTGAGCAATTTGTAAATGCAATCCATATTGAACCATTGAGCTCAGGAATACTCTGCTCTCAAGTAGACAGCTCTCATAAGAGCTCTTCTAAAAGAGCACGCAAGTGTGAAGATTCCTCTCATATTTATCCCTCAGTATTTAAAAGACAGCCGAAATCAAAGAGAACTAAACTAAATTCTTCTCCAGCTGGAATAAGAGTGGATCAAGAGAGAGTGTCACAGTTCAAGAAACTTCAAAAGGAACTATCAGCACTTAAGAACTGCTGCTGCAAAAATCAAAAGTACAATGTTTTGGTCACAATAGTACATCCTTGTCATATCAAAGAAGTACAGGTGAAGACTAGACCAAAATCTTCCTGTAAAGTTCCTGTAGCAACAATAGTTGTTATGGACCAGTCGGAAATTGAGAGAAAGGTGGTGCTGTGGCGTGGTGCTGCGTTTTGGTCACTCACTGTGTTTCCTGGGGATATTGTACTGTTTACAGGTGAGAATTCCTTTATTTGCCTTTTTAAATTGTGATTCCTTAAAATGCCTGTTTGAAGTAGAACAGTAAGTAACCAGTAATTTGTAACTATGGCTAAGCATTTGTAAGTATCTTTCTTACATCACTTACGTTGCTCAACATCACTTTGGGTTCTCAGTCATCCTGCTGGTGGAACACCAGCTGTCCCATAGGAGTTTGCCCATCTCTTAGGTATAGTCTTTGGCCTGAGGCACAGCAGTGCCATAGGTAGCCAGGTGTATTTTGTTTTAAACCAGTCGTTCCTGAAAGGTAAAAGTGCTGCTACAAATTAGATGTACTAGTTATTTGATTTATAGAATTTTTTGTAGTTCTCTGCTGTTGGACCGACAGATTGGACTGGAAAATCATATATTTTGTTCAGTCTCAGGATGAAATATCCTTTTCCTCCTAGGAAGGACTTCGCAGCTTAGCACTGGCATCTTGGGATGGATTGTGTTGCGGTTTAGTAACTGACATCAACTGCAGAAATATAAAGTGCTGTTTGCAGTTCACTTTCTTCATAAGGTGTTGACTAATAAAGAAGATGCTTCCTGATAAATTCTTTGTACTTTTTAATACTTAATAAGAGCAAAACTCTCCCTTGTAAGAGAATGCTATACTATAAAAATTATATTGTACTGAATTTAGGGCTGGAGTTGACCAGAACTTGATAGTGATCTGGCTGTTTGGGTTTTGCAATATGCAAAGTATGAAACACTTCAATACTGTTGATACATGAGTTGATAAGGTTGCTTTTTTTTTCTTTCTTGCAGATATAATAATGTATGAGAATCTTTGGTGTGGAGAAATCATGCTGCAATCTACATTTACCAGTCAGTTACTGAATCTAGGGAACTGCTCAGCTCTCAATCCAGAAGAATGTAAGATTACAGTGCATAACTTTCCACAAAAATCACCGTAAAGCTATTTAAAGTACTACTTCTTGTTGGCCATACCTCAAACACAGGGTAAAATGGAAATGTGAGCAGCTGAGGTATAAAATACTATAGAAAAGTATGACAGGAATACCTGTGGACAAGATATGGATGTGATGACATCAGATAAGCATGCAGAATTTATTGTAAAGTTGGGTGGTTACCATTCAAAACTCTGAAAAGCTGAATTCTTTGGGCTTAGTTTAAAAAACAGCAGTTATCCCAGGACTTAACTATGAGTTGTCTGAGATCTTATGAGGATTAAATTTTTTGCAAAAATTTTAGAGGCTTAAAGAATAAGTAGATACATTCAAGGAAAGTAATTCTTTGCAGGCTATTAAGCACAAAGTCTTTAAAGATACCTGAGCTGTGGAGGGTGGGAGACTAAGGGGGGAAATTACAGTGTAAGTATCACCATGAACTTGCATTGTTCTTACAGTCTTCCTGATGTCTGTTATTGCCAGGTATTTAAGGTTATTCTAGGGTAAATAATCAAGAACAGCTATTCTTCTTACCAAGCTATGATAGAAGATTTCTTTCCTATTTTTGGTGTAATTTAAAGTATTGTAACTTTGAGATGTTATCAAGACGAGGCAGATGAAGTAGAGGAGGCAGATGAAGCACAGTTTTATTTTGGATCAAGCGTTACGCATCTTAAGAGTTCCTCGCCTTAGAATTATTACAAAATGTTTTTGGTTTTGTCCATATAAATATGTACCAACTGTTGGTTTTTTTACTTCTAAGCTTAAAAAAAGGTGTCCCTTTAACTGTGGTTTTTTTCATATAAGTTTATTCTGTAGTGGATGCTGGTGTTCTCCATGGTTTATTGGCATACATATCATCAGAATTTCCGCACTTCAGAGATGTTCCTCGAAGACAAGTTCAGAGACTGGATAGCATTCAGTATATGCAGCTTGACCAGCTCCAGCCGAACACATTGGTTCACTCAATCTTGAAAATTGTCAACATTACTGTATTGACAGGTAAGTTCAGGCACTAGACTTCAACTTCCAGAACTTCAACTAGAGATTAAACTTAACATAGTAATTTTGCAAGGCAATTCTGGTTGCTTCCTATTCCATAGACCGGTGTTTGACATAGGAGTCACAGGGGAAATCTTTGTAATGATCCACTGATGGGAGGCACAGCAATTAGAGAAATGGAGTTAGAGCCAGGAAGGAAATAATGACTGTTGTCAGCTGCTGAAAGGAGGTTACTGCACACTTACACTGATCAATAGCATTTGCATCTGTGGAAGAGGCATGCAGGCAGTGAGCCTTGATAAGTGATGTTCCTACTCACTGGGGAATTATTGTGCTTTGTTCTTGTTTAAAAATTAATTGTTTATGAAAAATATTGTAGTTTTAGTCTTGCTTTCATTCTGCCCTGAAGAAATTGTGGATATATTCTTGTTTGCTTATAATTGTACCATAAAATAGGATAGCAACATGATTTCATCTTAATATTGATACATGTGGGTTTGTGTGTTCATGCTTTTTATTGTAGAAGTCATAATTTCATACTTTTTCAGAATCTGTGTATAGCTACAGAGGTGGCAACCAAAGAAAAATTGTTCTAACAGTAGAACAGAACAAAGATCAACACTATAGGATGGTGCTGTGGGGAGCAGGGGCTGCCTGGTGCCCTCAACTTCAAAGGAAAAAAGGTAAGGTCCTTGTACCTATAGGCAGCTGTAAAAGGATTTTTGTGGTCCTATTAATATCTTTAAAATGCTCTGCTGGTAACATTTTCCCATTCAACCTTTAAATACTCCCCTTAGTAGGGTGACACATTTGATACCAATTTTAATGTCTCCTTTACTTAAAAGCAGTGCCATCAGCAACAGAACTTGAATGCACTCACTTCAGGAGACTGAGACAGCATGAGTACTTAGAAACTTGAATCTAGATACAAGGTGCACTGGTGCCTAGTTATAACTGTAAAAAAACTTGAGTGTTAACTATGTTACCAGTCTTCCTTATCATTGTTTGGTTTAGAATGAATTGCTCTTTTTTTTCTACTTCTGATTTTCATTCTCTGCTTTCCATCTTACTGCAGTGTCAGGCTTTATATCCTACTGGTCTTGCTATCAAGTCTACCTGGAACTGACTAAAAGCATCTCTTGCAAAAATGACGTAGCCTGTGTTTTATCGATGACTACTACTGAATTACTGAATTTTGTTTTGTTCCTGGCTTTGGTTTTTTTTGGTTTTTTTTGTTTTTTTAAATAAGTGAAACTAGGCTTTTGTTAAATTGATAACTTAACAGTTTGTATTTCTGACCAGTGGATACACTTAGGAAGTAAATGCTATATTACTTGAGCTGCTGAATATGACTGACTGAAAGGCTGGCTTTTGCGTAGCGCAGGGTAAAACCCAGAAAGGTTAAACAACCTCATAATAAATCTTTACCTATCAAATGTAGCCACTCTGAATTCTGCCCATTCCACTTCAATTTATAAGTAATCTCCACTCATAGAAATCATTTAACTACAAGACTTATCTCTTAAACTACTTGAAGATGGTCCAGTTGAAGCGTTAACCAGTTAACTTTACTACATAATACCTACGTGGCTCTTACCTGATCACACTGAAGTATGCACAAAAGTATGTACTGTTTGTTAGATGCTTAGAAATCTTATAGAATTTAGTATGATAGAATATTGCGCTTTTCACAGTACAGAATTTAAAATTTTTTTATAGCTGATAGAAATTACCTTTGGTATCTTCTTTAAGACACAATAATATATCATTCTCTAAAGCAGAAAAGTATAAGATGTAGGTATCTGTAGTATTAAGTGTTCATATTTGATGTAAATCTTATGTCTTATTTTCTAGCTAGTGTTAAGTGCATCTAGAAGTTGGCATTTTAATGATTAAAGTTTTATCTGAAACTGAAGATAAGAGTGATTTCTCAACTGTTCAAATACTTAATCGCAGACAAACCATGAACATTTGATCCTAGTAAGATAGCCAAAAAGATAAATTCGCATGATACTAAAGCATGCACAACACTCAAGCGTGTGAGTGGGTTACAGGAAGAGCACAATGTCTGTCCTTGCTAGGAGTCATAGATCAGCTGTGGTATGTGTTTACTGGTTGTACTGGCAGATTAGATACCTCACAGTCTTGGAGAAAGGTATGGAAACTTGTATTTTTAAAGTGCATGAGACTATACGGTTCTAGAGCATCTAAAAATTGTTGCCAGTAAAAGTTAAATCTATTTTTAATCTCTTGCTAAAAATCAGTCCAAGCTTCCAGTATACAGCAGTCAGACATTCAACTCATGCTTTACACTTATCTAGTTTAGATTACCAAAAAAGATTTGTCATTAAATAAATTTCTGTAAACTTGATTACTTATAGTTTACTCATATTTTGTGGTCAGTTTTCTGCCCAACAGGGGAACGTTGAAGATTTTAATAATAGGTTGAATACAGGTTTCAACCAAATCTTGTACCCTAGTTGGACTATGTCCTCTACTTCCATATATCCCCTCTTGTTTCTCAATCTTCTAAGTGACCTTGGCTTTCTATAAATTGACCAAGGTATAGAAAGTAAACTCTTCTGTTTGCTTTTTTTGTTCTGTAGATCACATATGGGACTTCAAATACCTTCTGGTCCAACATAGTTCTGTCTCAGGTGACTTTGAACTGCACACAACTCCATGGTCGTCCTATGAGTGCTTGTTTGATGATGACAAAAGGGCAATTGAATTTAAAGAAAAGTTTCAGAAAAGCAAAACGTCCCTCATGCAGGTGACAAAGCTCTCAGCACATTTGGAGGAAAAATGCTCAGGTAAAATTGTTATCCATGCACTGCTCTGTTGTGCAGTGCATAACTAAGCAAAATAGGTGCTTTGCTCATCAAGTAAAATGCTTTTTTTTTTTTTTTAAGTTAGCACAGTTTGGGGGAATCTGAATTTATTCTGGAGGCTGCTGCTCAGTACCCAGCCAAATTGTAGATGCAGCCTTCATTCAGTGAGCCCAGAGGTGAGATAGGTGTGGTATGTGGTAGCTTTGGAACATAGGGAGAAAAGCTGCCTTTTGTGCATGCCAATCAGTCTAGTAATGATGTGATTTATCACTGAAAGTTTGTTCAATAGCTTTTCTCCAAAACTAGAGTTCTCTAAAGCAAGACTAAAATAGTTACTGCTATTGAAAACTTCTTTAAAAAGAACAAGAATGCATTTTACACAGTCACTCTCTCCAAGATAAACCTAGAAGATTGCTAAGGTTGGTGTTAAACATTAAGAGGTAAATAAATAAAGTTGGTATTGCAGTATTTAAGTCTAGTTTATGTATAAATGGTGGAGATCTAAGTTGTTTAAGCTGTGCTTTTCAGTGTCTCTCAATTAGCGTGGAAGTAAAGCAATTGGAAATAACTTGTGCAATTCTAATCTCTTGATCTCTTATTCAGGCTCTTCTATGTTGGCATCTACCACAATAGTACCTAAAAATGTGGGACTTTTATACATTTTTAAATAGTATTTAACCACAATGATTTTTCTTTGTATAAATGATCTCTAAAAATATGAGTATGTGCTACTAAAGAAAATAATTCATAAAGTGTTATGATTTTAGTTGAGTCAACTGTAAACCTTGGGTTTGCTTTGTTATAAATAACACTGAATGCCAATTTGATTGAAATTGTTGTTTTTGTAGGAGTGGTTCAATTGAAAGCCCATATCTTAGAACTGAAGTTTACCATTTCAACTGGTCAATACAAGCAACTCATCTTCTGTGCTGACACTTCACTGGAGTGTGTTCTGGCTTCTCTGCCTATGATTACATATTCAGGTTGTGCTAAATGTGGTTTGGAGCTACAGACAGATGAGAATATGATCTACAAACAATGTATTAGATGTTTGCCATACAACAAAGTAAAAAAATTCTACAGGTAAAAAAAAATAAAATTAAAATAATGTAAACTACAACTTTCTCCCTTTTAAGTTCCCCCATGTATAAAATTCTGTACTTAAGATGTGGTTAGCAATTCCTATTTTTCTAATGAATTTTCAAGGAGCTGTTCTTGAATTGCTGTATTATATTGCCATTATTTATAAGTAATATTCTTTGTTTAAGTTTTTAACGTCTTTGAATATGACATCATGCAATAACAAGGTTTACCAAGTACTGCATCAGTACCGTATTTTTAGACTGATTTGTAAATTGTAGCCTTGCCGAAATAATATTAACAAATGTTTTCAATGAATTTTTTAACAGTGAGCAGAGATACAAAGTTATCAGCAGATGGCACTGTGAGACAAGACACATATGCACATTTACTTGGAGAAAATAAACTAAACGTATCCAGTTGATGTAGGAACAATGTTATTAACTAATTTTTCAAGTCTTAAATTTAGCTTGGGTTTTTGAAATGTGAATATCATAGCAACTTGAAAGATGTGTAGGTAGAGAAAGCTGAGACAATCATAGACATAATAGAATTTTAGATTATGTAAATTTTCTACCAGAATTCTTTCTAAAATTATTCCTAACCTATTTCATAGTGAGTTTAATGAATCATAATGAATCATACTCAATAGTTTCTCTCTTGGCTTTGATTTAAATACTAGTTTCCCATTTGTCTAACAATGTAGTGACTTAATCTTTTTCCTCTGTGCAATCTTTAAAAGTCTTGCATCTCTAAGTTTGTATGCTAATTATTTTCCGATGAAGGATATTTAAGTGCAAAGAGTTTTTTCTTAACTGAGAAGGTTCCCTCTCTCTTTCATCAGATTGACCTCTCCTGTAGTCTTGAAGGACCTCAATTTACTCTCTCACACAAAAGGGGACAGGAAAATGACAAAGACTTCCAGTGCTTGTATTCTCAGCACATGAACACATCTTGATGTGGAACTTAAATGCAAAACTTTTTCAAAGAAAAATCTGTCACTTTTGCCCTGAAATTTTGTTCTGATTGGCAAGAATGCAGTTCCTTGATAGTATTTCCAAATTCTTACTGTAGGATAACTTATTAGATTTACATTTTAACAGGAGAAAAATCTGTCTCTTGCTAAAAAAACGCCTTGTTAAATGAAATTAACTTACTGACTAAATATGCTGTCCTAGCATTATTGCACTGCTCAAGAGCTTGATATGTCAATGGTTAGTGTTAGTCTTGTTTTATAAAATTGTATGCACAACTAGTAGAAAATTAATTTTTCTGTAGTTTGCTATTTGATGTCCCCATATCTCAGATTGTTTTTAATCCCTCAGTATAAGGATGGAAGTTCAGTATGCTCTATATCTAGCAATGCAATAGCTACCAGCCTCTCCTTGAGAGTAAAATCTCCCTATTGTTTTCTACTTAGTATGAGTAAGTGTAATAATACTAAATATTGCAGACTTCTTAAAACATAGGATTAGTCTGGAATTTGAATAGCCTGGGCCTTGGTTTCTATCTATACCAACAGATTTGAAATAGTTCCATGGATAATCAGACATGGATTTCCCTTATCTCTTTTGAGCATTAAAATAATGAAATTTAGCAGTAACTTTTAGATCAACAGATGACAAGTCAAATGGTTTGCCTGCTGGGAAAGTGGCATATTTGCAGTCATTTGCCTTTGTGCCTCACAGGCATTCAAATTAGGGCTGTTAGGTATTCTGCATCACACTAACTAATCTATTAATAACACTATCCAATTGCAGGATACTGAAGTACTGGCTGATGGTCCTATTTGACAGTGCAGCTCTGCTAGTCTCTTGAAGTGATTGCCTGTCCTTCATTTCTACTATCTCTGCAGTGAGCACATTTTATCCTGTTGGGAGCATCTCCCATTGAGAAGTTGTGCACTGAAGATGATTGTGCTTTATTTTATTACTTAACATAAACTGTTTTGATACTGTTCCAATATTGCTGTAACCAGGATTTACATTACTGTGTTGTGTCCTGATGTTTACTATTTCACCTTTTTCTGTGGGATGGTCAGGACAGAGCACAGCATCCTGCTGTGATGAGAGCAGCGCAAATTTTCTAGGAAGTGTAAGGATTGTGATGGTGCAGGTGTTCAAATTGTAAATAATCTCAGGGCAGTCAAAGAACATATGCTGGGTAAAAGCAGCATCAGCTGTGGAAGTTATTAAGCTTAGTAAAATCACTCAGAAGCTTGAAAGCAAGCAGAAACTACCTGTTGAACCTCACTATGGAAGACTGGCAAGGTATCACCTCACAGAAGCATAGCAAAAACCAATAGCAAGGATTTATTTGGGAGAACAATAAAAAAGCTATGGCATAGAGATTTTTCTAGTTCTTCTAATTCTTGATGTTATGTTGGAGGGTAATATTACATTGTATTACTCTCACTTTGTAATTTTGCTTCAGTCAAAAAAACATAGCAGCTAACTTTCAAGAGTCTTTTGTTTTCTGATCTAGACCTGCTTTGATGACAGTGGAAGATGGAGGATACGAAATTTCTGTTCATGTGGTATCTGAGTTGATGGAAAAAATCTTCCTCAATATTCCTGCAGATTGGCTGAACAGATTCGTAGGTACTGTTTTGTGAATTACTTGTGACAAACAGGCAGCAAAGTTCACAACGAAGTAAAATTTTTAAGTATTGACAATTTAACATTAGAATGAGATTGCTCTGGAAATATGATTGCTTATATTTTGAGAGTTAAAAAAAAAAAAAAGCAGCCTCAAAGAGAGCTCAACTTCAGTTGCTTTCTGACAAACGCAGAAGTTCAGAGTTGAGGTAGCAAAAAGTGAGATGGTATGAACGCTTATTATATGTTTTATAACTAAGTATTCAGTAACTAAGTGGATCCCTTATGTGCAAAATAGAATCTCTTGACAGATTTTATGAAAGCATGTTAGCTATTTCTGTAGGAAGAGTGGTGCTTCAGACAGGCTTCCCTTGATACATCCTATTTGACTTCTTGAGAGGTGTTTTACATGACTCACAGGTGTTACAGTTTAATGAGAAACAAGGCTTAGCACATTATTTTTTAAAAATAATTAAAAACAAAAGCTAATTATCTATTCAGATGTTGTGCTCAACTTCCAATAACAGTGTAGTTTTCATGGGGATGGAACTTGAATGTTAGGTAATATTATGAAAATAAAGAGTAAATTGGATTGTTCTGTCTTTTGCAGTGCCCTCTTCGGATATAACCTACAGCACAATAGTGGCAGATCTGTGTCATTTGCTGCTAGCAGATACGGAAGCATCCTATTTGTTGGAAATTAGGAGCCATTTTGTGCTAGATGAAAACAGCTATCCTTTGCAAAAGGATTTCCATCTGCTAAATTTTCATCCTGATCTTTGAAGCATTGACCTCTGCAATAACTGAGTAACAGAGACATAGAAACACACAGATGGCCAACAGAAGAAAAATGAATTACCTCAAGGAAGGAAATGTATTTTTAAAAATAAGAAAGAATGTTGGTTTTAACTTATACAAAAAACTCAAAAGGACTGGTATGGAATATCTACTAATAGTATATACTGCTGTTGTAATACTGATAAATTGGTATAAAGTGTATTTTTATACATATGTTTTTATCTTAATAAACTTTTACTGGGTACCTGTTTTCCTTTTCTCCCTAGAAACGTTCACTAGTATTGAAAAACTGAATTTTTCTCAGATATGGCAGCTTAGAGGAAGACAGCCACAATTCAGTAATATTATTTTAGTTATAGGATTTTTGTTTGGTTTATCCTATACATTGTCTGTAACTTGGTTATGCATTTGCTCGCTTTACTGTCGTGGTTGCTTTTCTTGTTTTAACAGCAGAATTTCTGCTATTTGCCCTTGGCAATCTTACTGCAGTTGTTTTCTTTTACAAAACAGAACTGTCTCACTGAATCTAATTTTGTGTATCTAGAAGTCGTTGCACCAAATTAAGAGGTTTTAAACAGTTTAAGCAGGCGCATTCTTTCATGGACGCTTTAAATTATTTAATTGCTGTGGTATTTATAGTGGTAGTATTTATCCAGCATAAGCTGGCAAATGAACTTAATTGCTGTAAGCCAATTGAATCAGTTAAACACTGGTCTGCAAAATTTTCTCCCAGCTTGATCAGATTTAGAAATTAATTTAAATCTTTTTAAAGATTTTTTTTTAAAAGATATTCTGATAGCGATTTTTTTTAATCAGTAAAAGACTGAGTAAATGATGACTGCACCTGACTTTACAAAGTAACAGTCTCATAACTAGTACTCTGTGAAAGAGATTAAATATATAGATCAGTATTTTTCCCTGATACAAATCTCTCTGATAACAGTTGTGCCTCTTACTGAGGCTGGTAGAAGCTGTAGGGTGTGAATTGTGTTTGCTTTCTGGCTGGATCCTTGCAGATCTTTACCTGCACTGTTCTTATTGAGAAAATCAGTTTCCACATACGCTGTTTCAGCTATCCTCAGGCTTCAAACAGAACTGTTCTCAAAACTGAATTTGATAAATCAAGTTGCCAAATCCATTATAATGCAAGTAATATGACTGAGCAGCTTTCATATGTTGTTTCTTGGAAGTGGCTACTTAGAATTGAATAACCATGTTTCTTGGTGTTAGGTGGGATTCTGTATCTCATGTGAAACCAGTTTGGGACTGTTGGTCTTTTAACGATGTTGATTAGAGCCATGTGTAAGCCATGTGCTTTCTTGTGTACCAATAAAGGGGGAGGTAGTAATGTTTCTGATCAAATCTGTCAGCAAGAGAGAATCCGGAGGATTACGAGGTGACTTTGAAGAAATGAATTCTTAGCTACAGTTTCACAAGATTCTTATTTCTGTATTTAACTACTTGTGTACTGATCAATCCAGTCAGATTCTATTGATCAAACAAGTTTGTGCAGTTCTGCTTCTCATAGCAGGCTTAGTTTTCTGGTTTAAGCCCTAGCAATTTTGTGATAAAATAATTTCCCAGTATTTTTGTCTTTCTCTGAAACAGTCTCTGACAGTTCTGTTGGTGAGCATAGAAATGCTGATCTTACACCAGCAAGATCAATTTCCTGTTGTGCCAATACACCTGAGACTAGTGTAAGACAGACAGCACAGTGACACCAAAACTATGCTCAACACTAGCACCTAGTGGTGTGCAAATGGTGGGACAAAATCTCCAGAATAAATTAGGTAGCCCCTTCTACAGAGAGTCTGCAGTGTTTCCTTTGTATAGGAATGATAATTTCCACAGCATCGAGCCTAGGGCAAGGAAGGAACCAGTCACAGAAGAGACTAATTGTGTCCTCATCTGATGATCCAGAATGGAAAAATTACTGTTGCTACTGTTAATAAAATGTGCTAAAGATAATATGGAAAATCACAGCTTTGTAAAAGGAGAATACAAGAGACTTGCAATGATTGAATTTCACCTTGCTGTAAAAGCACTTTTTACCTAGTTTCATGTGACCTGGCAGAAACAGGATGACATTGTCCTAACCCATCACTTAGGGAAAGCCCTAAGCCTCTGTGCCTTTTATACCTTATTCTAACTATGCTTTATTGAGTAGTGTTTTCTTGAATGTGAATTTCTTAATGCCAGGGAAAAATACATTCAAGGGAAGCGGTATTTCAGTGTTGGGATTTAAATGAGGTATTAGCACCAATGCTGATTCTGTGTGAGTGAAAACATTCTAGGAACATTTTGAGTGTAGTAAGACTCTTTAAAACTAGACATCGATTACATGAGAGAAGTCTTAAAGATAGTTTTACATCTTGTTTATGTGCGGTGTCATTAGGATGATTTGATAACCTTGGATGGAATTCCTGCTGTCTGGATTGGTGGGGTGTTTGTGGTTGATCAGCAAGTTCTATGTACTATGGTTAGGTCTCTCCAGCTGACTTGGACCTGACTGCCTCATTTCCTTCTCTTGATTTTTTTCAGATCACCACTCTGACTCTTGTTTAACAGTATTCCTTCTTGAAATCCAAGTTACAAACATGACAGACACCATAGTTCAATGTTAACTTTAAATTTACCATAATTGTATAGTTTCTTTGGTTCCTATATTCACTTCAGTAATTGTGTGAAATCTCTAGGTCCTGCTGCCTTGTATTTACTCCCTGTCTTTCAAACGGGAAGCTATTTCACTCTCTGTGCCTCCATCTGGCATAGAGATTTCTGCTGAAGGAGCTTTCTGATCCTTTATCACTTGTAATACATCTTGCTCCCTTTCAGTTTCATCAAGCTGCTGCTTTATGAATGTACAGCTCTTTGGGAGTAAGCAAATCTGGTCTCATTTCCTCAGAGGAAAGATAGAGTAGTGCAGATGGCAGTGATTGTTAGGTATAGGTATAATTTTAGCTGGGAGAGAAGGTAAGGTAGAGTGTGATCCACAAAGGAATATAAATAAATACTCGATGAGTAGGGCTTCTTATCCAGGATCCTGTTCTTAAGAAGAATATAGCCATTATTCATGATGGTTCTAAAATGGTGCTGAATTGCTGCTCGCTGTCATTTGAAGGGGTTGTACTTCCGTTGTTAGATGGAAGATTCATTGCAGAGCAGGGTGTCACATTTTGTATGATCTTGTACCTATTTCTTGTATCTTTCTTGGATGGGGGTTTTCTGTGCTATGAATCTTGGTATAATTTTAAAATTTTTTAGAAGAAAAGAAGCATTGTTAGGCACTGAGACGTCTTGTAATCATTCCTCCTCTTTCATCTCGATATAAGTCTCAAACATAAGACCAGATGGATGATCTGTAAAAGGTGGTAGGTAAAAAAAATTGGTCTATTTATGACAATTGATAACACGGTATTATACCTTCTTATTTAATAATGTTTCTTGCTTTACTGAATTAACTCACTTCTTCAGGAAGAGTCAAAAAGGACCTTTCTCCTTCACTTGGATGATCTTAAGCAAAGTCAAGTACATCGGTAAGTGCATTTAAATATGTTTCTTCATGATTTTAGCTAGAATTATTGAACACAAAAGGTGAAAGTGCTGCTACTTTAAGAAGTGCGAAGAAAAGAGACCACATTAGTACAATACATTGTTTTATTACTTGGGCTGTACTGTACATCAAGTCAGATAAGTGACTTCCCACTTTGGAGATTTTTATGTTAATAGACACTGTACATTAAGTAAATCTAACCATCTAAAACATTCTTAATAGCTTACTTTGAAGATCTTTAGTGTTTATTGGTATGATTTAAATCATAAAGAGGGACATAATGTATACAGAAAAATTGCTTTATCGAAGTAATACAGTTATCATAGAGTTTATGTATAGTTCTCCTTTCCAGATCAAATATCTTGTCTATTAGATTGATTTTTCAGTGGTTTTGTAGGAGTAAAATTTGAAAAAGAGCTCTTTGAGGTTGGAGGTGCTATATATAGCAATGAGGGTTGAACACCCTGTAAAATTAAGTGGAATGAGTTTAGGCTCATCTTATATCCAGTAGTGTAGTTAGCAAGATGGACTGAGGGTACCATGTAACATTTCAAGTGGGAGATCAGGTGAAATGAGGTCTGTTACCTTACAATTCCTCTCAGATATATTCTTATTCATAATATTTCCTTTAGATATTAACGATATTATCAAAAAGTGTTCTCATCTCACCAGATAAATGTAATTTTTTAATATTCTGAATTAATTAATATTGTATCCTGTTTGAAAGGAAGCTGGCTTTATTTCAGCTGCAGAGATTGGAACGTAATTGTACAAAATATTTTGCTGCAATAGTCTGTGTGTCTGGCTTATGACTACAGTGTGAAAGGTACAGAGTTCTGGTCCCCAGTGAACAATCAAGAAGGGAAGAATGTCCTATTTATTTTGATTAAAAATAATTGTTCTGAATTATTTTACAGAACAGTAATTTACAAAGAAACTCTGCCATTAAAACAGATGTGTATCGTAGGGGCTTAAGCTAATTGGATTTTCAATGTAAGAATGGTCGTACTAGGTCAAACCCAAGGTTTTTGTAATCTATGCTCTGTCTCCAGCAGAGTTGTGTTTAGGGAGAACTATAAGGACAGGGTAAGTCCCTTGTATTTTCTTCGAGTACTCCTGCCAGCCTCCAATCATTTGTGACTTCAGGACTTTTTATACCTCTCCCTTAGTGTCAACACAGTGTTGTACGTTGGGGTCAGCTGAAAACATCTAACTGAATTACTGCAAGAAATACACTGTCCTGAGGGATGCAAACAGGTGTTTCTAGATTTTTGATCAATGAACACTCGGTACTTTCCGCCATTCATATTCAGAAGAGGATTTCAATATAATGCTGCTATTAAATTGTAAATTTAGTAGTTAGCATCGTTTGGGCTTTATCTGTTTTGGCACGTTTACTGGGCTTCCATCCCTTTGCAGTGGACAGTTAGGCCTGGTATCATCATTGATAGTTCTTAGGTCATTTTGGGTTCTATCCATATCACGAATGATCGTTTGTGCCTAGAACTGATGACCAAGAATTGGAATGTACTAGTCAATATAGCTAATACTAGGATATCATGTTTGTCTTCCTGTTTATTTTTTTTTCTTACTCTCATGCACATTAATTAAAATGGAAATATATTTTGAAGAGAGGAAAGATAGAGTTCCAGCCTAGCAGGGACTAAGTTTTCTCTTTGCGTTTGGGCAAGGAAAGAATTTATGTATTTTATTCTTGTCTACTTTGGAGTGTAAAATGGTCAAAGATTTTTTTATCATCAGATTATGAAAGACAGTGAGAGCTGTTCCTTTTTAAGGTTGTTGGACTTTTTTATCCATACTATTTACATGCTGTGGCAGAGAGCATGCCATCGTTTAACCAACTCCTTGGGCTTGTTGATCATTTCATTCCAGTGTTCCAGTTCTTTGCCACGGGTGTACATGAAAGGCCCAACTACTACACGTCCTAGCAGATGTGTTTCTGGGGAAAAAAGAAAGCAGTCATTAACACCTGTAAGTGCTTCTTGGAAATTCCTACCTAATTAGAATATTAACTTATGTTTCTCTAATGCATATTCTGAGAGTTATTTTTAAACTAAAATTTTGATCAAGGAATTCACTCTGTATTTCAAGTTTTGTAGTTTCTACATGCAAAGATTGAGCATTAAAAGGTACTGCAGTAGATGGGTATTTAGTCAATTCAGGCCTGCCCTGTTGCCTGCTCTCTGAACTAGAATCAGTTTAAGGCACACAGACCTTTATCTGCCCAGCCCCTCTACCTCAAGCGTACTGTGGGAGTGTGCCCTGCTTCTGGCCATCAACAGCATTAGTAGGATTCATACACTGTTCTAGCTTGGGAAAGAGTAGTTTTAGTTTGAGACAGCTGGAAGTGGCAGTATGTGGGTTTCCGCTGACTACCCTCTGCCAAAGCGCAGGCTGTTTCTTTATGCCTGAACTTTTCAGCTGTGGATGGGGAAAATAATTTGAACCTGCTTTACATGAACTTCAGGATGTTTCTAAAGTGTTTGTCAAGTGAAAAAGGTGAAAGGCTCGAGCACTGATCCTAGCTCTTGTCAATCTTCAAAGCCAAAGCACCTGCCCAAAAACTCACCTAAATGAATTTTTTTTTTTAGTATTGTATGAATTCAAATCAGGGTCTTAATGTTTCATTATTGAGATCATATTTGCACTGCAGGGAAGATGTTTTTCTTGGGAGCAGTGGAAGTACTGAATTCTGATTTGCTTCTCTAAGCAGAATTCCTTAATGGATTCATCTGACAATTAGTAAAAGGTGACCTCAACCATCAGGTTTCCTGCCAGGGAATGGGGATGCTTGTAGTCTCCTTTCTCACTGCTTGAACTGCTGTGATAATTAAAATTCCTATTCCTCTTTCAAATTTGGTTAGGAACAGTGAATGGCTTCAAAATTTTGGATATTATACACAAAAGTGTTCACAGACCATAATTGCTTAAGATGGTTTTCTGAGGATACCACAATGAAACAAAAGTACAACCTTGTACTGACAGTCACCAGCCTACAGTTGTGTCTTCTGTTTAAGTTTATCTTTAGCCTCTGAGATACACACAGCAAATACATTGTTCTGCTTTTTAAAGAAACAGTCTGTGAAACACCCCAAAAACTTTTATATGTTTTATGATTATTGCTGGAAAGTAATTAGTTCTTCCCAGGTTTAAGGATCTCTGTGATATATATAGGAGATTTATGACATCTTAACTATAATTTATGTAGCTTACTCTCTCCCTTGATACTCTGGAGCACAGAGAGATTCAGGCTTGTTGTATCCAGCTCTGTCTGATCTGTCTTGAAACTGAAGGTTTCATTATATACTGGATTGGGAGATCCCAGAACAGCTGCTGTCTTCTTACTTTTGCTGAATTTATTATGGTTCATTAGAGAGACTTTGACATACACACCTTGGAGAAAAAAGAAATTAAAGAAGAAAATACATCAGAGGCAGTTGGGAGAAGGCCTGAGGAATTTCTTGCTTTCAGGAGTCAATATTAAGTATAAAATTAGATCATGAACGATTAATGAAGCACATATGGCAGGATGGCAGTGCATAGCATTAAGCAGGGAGTACACAAAGTACTTAAGGTGCAGTTTTGTAGTGCACTTTCCAATTTAAGAGCTGTTAAAAGGAGCAGTCATATTCTAATCCTGCATCTTTGATCTTATCTTTCTGTACCTTCCCTTCCTCTCTGATGGAGACTTTTTTTTGAAGACTTGGTTTGTTGGGTCAGTAGTTAATTTCATGTATTTGATCACATGATTGTTTGATCCAAGACAAGTGAGGCCATGAAGGAGGAGCTGTGTTGTAGAGCTGCAGCCTGTGCTTGGGCCAGGTACGTTTCAGGGGAACAGATTCTTCTAGTCAAAGAAGAATCCTTAAACAAAAACTTTTACTATTGATGTCTAGCCCTGTGGTAAGGGATTCTGTAGAAAATCTGAAGATCAATGATCTCTACTTTCTTCTAGAAAATACTACCAAAAAATGTGTGAGTATGGGGACAAGAACAACAAAAAATTTTTACTTTGCTTCCTGAAGGGGACCTGTATTGCATTGTGGTCTTATTCAGTAGATCCTTGATGATGAGATCCAAAGCAGCCTGAAACTTTCCGTTCTTTGTTAACCTTCTCTAAAACTTAGTAACAAGCATGTAGAAATTTCATCTTAATTGATGGCTAAAGATTTGTTCTTTTCTAGTGAAGCAGTAATAGATTCTATGCTGCTGCTGTGTTTATTACTCCCTGCTATTCAGTTCATTAAGGTTCATCTGTGCAGCAAAAATGATTAGAAATATCAGGACTGAGACAGTATTGATGGACTCCTAATGTCTCCTTGTTATTTCTGCAGATCTAGTAGGCTCGCATTACTGTTTCAGAGGGTACAGGATTACTGGAACAGACTTTTTTCTTTAACAGAGCTGCTACCTGAGTGCTATATATGGAAAGAGTTACTGTGTACACTACTAACACAAAGCAGGACTTTTCATTACTTTCTTATTACTTCTTAATACCTTTAATTCAGCAATTTGAATCTAAAAATAAATTTCTCCTTACTGTCCTGTACTGCATATCTTCCATCAAGGATTAGTGTTACACTTATCCCTGTTAATATAGAAAGCTTTTTATTTCAGATTCTTTGGAATTTACTGGAGAATCTGTGGACCCCAAATCATACTTGAAGGGCATTAACAAAGGAAATAACACCGAATTTATATTTTTTTCCCTCTTTAGGAATATATTATGGACAATTGCCTTCTTGCAGCTCTTCCTTCCAGACCATTCCCATGACTCCTGCTTATTGTGATAACCTTAAGTGTACCAGCACTAAAATAACATGGAAGACTAACATTAGATTTGTAAAAAGAAACACACTGAGCTCTGGCTCTTTGTGCTACAGAACTTCACAGCAACCTGAAGGCAGAGACATTGTGTATTGAGAAGTGTGTTCTCCCTCTCTTGTAAAGCTATTGAGATGATGGAAAATTAGAACATTTACTCTTCATGGTGCCACTTTATTCACCTGCCACAAGCCAGTTGTATTTTTTCTGGCCATCCTGACCTTAGTTATTTGTTTTTACATCCTGTAGTATATTTCTCTTTCATCAAGTGTACAGGGTATGATTCTGCTTGTTGGAAACCTATATTCTTATCATTTTACGGTGCATGTCTTCATTTGACTTCTACCGTAAACAGAGCAAGCTTCTCTCTAACATTATGAACGTAGATTTATTCATTTAGAGGGCATTGTTTCTAAAGTTGAACATCCTGGTACCAGCCTGCTCAAAGAAACCTCAAAAAAACTTCATAGTTGACGTGTTTATATAGAGAACTACATCTCTTTACTTCTTAATTGCTGGGTGTATTTTGCGTTAATACTGTTTAATTTCAAAGCCCTTCAAATAAATCACGACAGATTCAAACACAAGTTTAGTTCTTCCTTCTGGTTTTGCTTTGAGTTTTTAGATTTTAAACAGAATTTTGAGGAGAACCCTACACACAACATCTCTGAGACCAAGGACACATGAGCATGATGTGTGAGGGAAGCTCCCACTGTAGAAAGGGAGAAAAATTGTGACTCCATGTTGTCGTCCTTTGAACAACAGCTAGGCTTTCCTAAAATGGGAATCTTCTCCTAATTCAGTTCTCCCCAGGACAACTGTACAGCTTAAGCAGTTGTCTTGTAGCTGTTACCTTTGGACTTTTGCCTTGAGGCAACTCTGTTAATGTCAGTATCTCCTGAAATACTGCTGTCTCTGGATTGGAGTGCAGCAAAAGGGATGTTGCTAACTGTATTAAAGCAGGAGAAAAAAACCTGCTGCTGATGACATGAGACAAAAAATTTGTTATGAAACAAAACCAACAAATAGCAGAACTGAGCTATCAAAATCTAATTACCCCACTAACAAAGTATGTCTTGTTTCCACTCAAATTAAATCATCAGGATGTTTATTTGTTCTTTTCAGAGTCACTCAGTGCAAGCCTGGGTGGACAGATGAGGAAGGAGCAAATTAAAACAGGAATTCTGGAGCTGATAGCGGAGAGGAAATCCCACTTACCGGCAGCATGGCTCTCCTCCTGGAACTTTAATCCCCTCGCCCTCAGAACCACTACAGTGAGGCGACCCAGGTAGTCGTTGTAGCTGAGGGAGAACTGGATATCACCGTACTCTGAAGGAGGCTTTGGAAGCAGAAGAACCCTTGTCAAACGTAGCTGAAAACTCTCTCTTCACACAGACAAGGCAGGGGGAAGTTCTTCCTACTAGTGGTTTGTGTCACACCAAAGCATGTGAGTGAATTTTAATGGTTTAATTTATGCCAGTGTGACATTTGATAGAACCAATTAATCAGCCTTCCTGAACCTTTGAATTCCTGTCTCTTCCAGGTGATGCCTATTGCCTTACTGCTGCTGCTTTTTTCTGCTCTATTTCAAACCAGAAGCAAATAACAAAAGGTGCTTTCTTATACTACTGTCTCCTAACTTGTAACTGTTTCTGAGCAGTTGGATAATCCCTGTACAACAGGTATGGATCTTCAGGTTCGGATGGGAATTTTGATTCCAAATGTTTGTCAAATACTTCTGCATTCGATGTATTTGATACAACAGACTTCTACTTCAGCTATACCCCCTAAATACTTTTAAGATGACAGAAGTTCCACAATGCCAAGCAGCCTGGTATCACATACCTCCAAGTTTTCTTTCTCCAGATCTCTCCATATGACTAGTTTGTTGTCATCGGTTAATGTTTCATTTTTCAGTGGGAAGACAACTTGGCCTAGGAGATGATGCTTTTTCTGTTTATCAACATGATAAACTAAAAATTTCAGTGTCCTTTGGAACAACATTTTACTGGAAACCTGTACAGGAAAAGGAAGACTATATTGATAAATTGTAAAACGTGAGACCTTTCTACTCTAGCATGACTTCAAAGAAAGAATTTTTCAAAGCATGTTAGAGGTAGGTGGAGATTTCCTTTGGTTATTTGAAGTCCACTTTCTTAATTTGCCTAAAGTTTTAGCTATGTAGGAGTCTAAAGATCCAAGCTAAAATAGAATGAGTTAATTTGAAAAATGTGAAGTTAGCTGGCAGTTTTTCAACTCATAGATCTAATGTTGCATCCAGTTCGAGACACAAATGTCTAGAAATCTTAAACATTAGTTTTTTTGTTGTCTGAGACAAACTTTTTTGATTTTAAAGCTTTTGCCTTGTGGCACCTGCTCAAAGCCTCTTGGCATATGGAACCAAGCTCCCTAGCTTTAAAGCACTATACATACAAATAGTATACCTCTTGAGTTCTAGTTTCTACCCTACTACCGCAGCCAATAAACTAAAAGCTATGAAAGCATTAGTTTGGTATAGAATGCTTCTGGACTTCTAGAGCTGCTGGGCTGAACTGCTCAGCCATAGTTCAAACTGGAGCTTTTGTCATCATTCCCAGGGCAAGTTGTGAAATCCTCAGTTTTGGTGCAGACCACAAGAAAGATCAGTTCTGGAGCCAGAGACTTAAGTAGCCCAGGATCTCCAGAAGCCCCAGTTGAAACGACTTGTATCTTGGTACAAATTAGTAGAAAATTACTTTTCACAAAACATGTACTGTAGTTTGAGAAGTCAATATTTGCAAACAAAAATCTGCGTCATCAAAAGGAAAAGTACCTGGAAAACAAAGTTTTCATCAAAGTGTGGGTTAAGGGTTTTGCGTTTGGTTTTGGACTGCAAGTAGCTTCTTTCATCGGGCAGCAAGTAGATTTTCACAAACGGACTACAGGAATCAGCAGGAGGCTGCAGCTTTCTGACTTTGATCAGGGAGACGAGGAGCCTTTCTGACTCTTGCTCATATTCTACAGAGAACCAGAGGCGGCCAATGTTGCCTTCAGGAAAATCCGTCTCACTCTTGTCTTCAGGAAACTTGTACAGCTCTGGGTTAATGGTCCCTACAATGTAAGCTCCAGCTTCATGAAATAAAAAACAAGTACACTCAGATTAGTCTCAACGCTACAGCAGGCATTTTTATTACTACTGATGTATTAGGGATATCACATCTCTTTATTAACAATCCATTTTTGCATAAACATGGTATTTTAATTGCTTTTCCCTCAAATCTGGGGGAGTAGTTGTAGGCTGCACCACATGAAATAAAAAACAAGTACACTCAGATTAGTCTCAACGCTACAGCAGGCATTTTTATTACTACTGATGTATTAGGGATATCACATCTCTTTATTAACAATCCATTTTTGCATAAACATGGTATTTTAATTGCTTTTCCCTCAAATCTGGGGGAGTAGTTGTAGGCTTCTCTTCCTCTTATTCCTGTGGCTGTACCTTAATAGTTTTGGGTATTCATTGTTGCAGTCTGCAACTGGTCACTCTGCTGAGTCTGGGGACAACAATCAGATACTTTCTGAGTTATACTCATGTTGTGCCTTTACAAAACACAGAAGGAGAGATTGCTTTGTCTTCCATATGTGCAAGATCCCACAACTGTGGGACCACAACGGCTACATTCTGGCCCAATTCATATATATATATGAAATATATATACATGTAATCTTTAGGGCTTGTACTGTGTAATGCTATGTCTGGTATGCCCCCAATAAACATGCTTCATAATACTAAAGTTACCCCTAAAAAGGGTCCCATTTTTGTAGTGCCATACCCAAAGAATGAAACGATGACCGTGGCCCAGACTGAGGAATCATGTAGGGGTCACTGTCTTCCTGAACCTGCTCTTCGTTCGTCAGGTTAATCCAGTCTCTCCCATGCAGTGTTGGTGGAACGATAAACGGAACGCTCCTGGACCTGCTCAAGACAACAACGGCTACTGACTTTTCTAGTTTAAATACGGGAACCAAACTTGGTAACAGTCATTATTTTACTGTTCTTCTCTCATAATTTTGTAAAAATTCTACAGAGATGCCTAGGTAAAAAGGATAAATACCCATTGTTTTACAAACGATTTCATTTGTATAATGCCTAAAAGTCCAGAGAGATACATCAGATCTTAATTCTTCAGACAGATCCTTCACTTCTTCCTTTTCTTCTCCTTCAGAAATAATCTTCTAAAGGAAAGGAAGAATTAACTGCAGCTGCTTGTTTTAGAGCCCCAAAGCCCTGCAGTAACTATCAAAGACAATCTTTCTTTCTGAAGTCCTGTTGTTTTGTTCTCAGGTGCTTCCTTATGAGAGCACCAGGAATGATGCTGCAACAGAGCCCAATTAGTCTAGGTAACAGATGAAGTTATCCATGCACTAATTATCCTTGAATGTATTACCTCTTCTACATAAATCACAAATATAATTGTATTCATAGTTACAGAAGGTATTCTTTTCCTAAAGGAACATACAGAACATGACTGATGTTTTCATATAATTTAGGGATCTTGTTTATTTCAGTACCTGCATATATTTAGATCACCCCCTTATTTGAGACTTGACAAGTTGAAATAAATTACCAATACTGTATGCTTTAAAAACAAAAATAAATACCTTGTGCTTTTTAGTTGAATTTCAGAAGTTGACCGATCCTGAAAAATGGCATTTGCATTTGTTGTTTTGACAGGACTGGTGAGCTTTTCGTAAGAAGGGAGGTGGCAAAATTTCTTCCAGAGCAGGTATGCAGTTATTCCAATGAGAAGAAATAAAAGGACTGCTCCTATTATACTTCCAACAACAGCAACTGCTTGTTCTGTTCAGGCATAGAAGCACATAAAGCATCACAGGAGGACCAAAATTATGTACATTTTGGGGGTAGACAGGAATATTTTAAATAATCAAATATATTTGATTTACTTTCCAAAATGATTTCTAAAGGAGACAATCCACTCACACGCACGTGTTTGTCTATGGTTAGGGTGCAATATCTGAAGATGTATGGCATTGGCAGTGAGAGATTAGGAAGTGTTCAGATATGCTGGCAATGACTGCAATGTAAGAGACTAGACAGGAGAAAAAACCCAAAATCCAAGGAGTTGTTTGGGCTCTTATTTTACATTAGCATAAGCATTTACCTTAGCATGGCAGAAGTGCTAGAGCTTTCATAATAGATGAAAAAGGAAACCCAGGAGCACCTAATACAAAAGGTACCATTATTTTGGTTTGGTGTGTTCTTTCAACTATTCATCTATGTTGAACTGAGACTAGATCCTGGCATGAGGAACAAAGCAAAGCTCTGGGTTGTTTTCTTTCTAAGGATGCATGTGTTTCCCGATCTCTAAAGTCAAATTTAACTGTTCATTAAACACTGTTTCCTGAATCTTGATTATTTCAGATAAAACCAAATCTTGTATAATTTGGGTTTTGGGTTGGGTTGTTTTTTTTCCCCACGAGTAAAATTGAAAACTTAATAAATGTCTTTAATGTGAATATGAGGTATTCTGTTGTGAGAATTTCTCACAAGACCGAAGGTAGTCAATTGGTAATGGGCTTAGTATCTTCTTTTCTGCTGTTTGCTGAGTGTGCTAGAGTAAAAAGCTGGACTTCTGCAACTGTACCTTATACCCAGCCTGCCTTGGCCTGCAACTAAACTAGTACTGGTGTATCGAGATGTGACTGGGTCTCAACTGAGAACTGATCCTACCAGAGTATCCTCTGTCTGAAAATGAGCCCAAAGTGCAGAATTATCTTCCACTCTGCAGCCACGGGAGGCAGCTGGGGATGAGCTGAGTATGTGCACTGCCAGTTCTCAGGGTCTCCTCTGAAACTGAACCAACAGCCCTGGTGCTATCTCACAACTGATGTTGACTTTTTTCCTCTTCTCTGCTTTCAGGTAGAGATAACTGTGATTGTGCTTTATTCCTTTCTCATTTTTATCTGTCTGCACTTGGTAGATACCTTGCAGTTAGCCACCTCTGTGTGATGGAACAAGTAAATAAAGGCAAAACAAGCAGAAAATACTTAGTCAACAGTAATAGTGGCACAGTGGTGGGAACAAGTGAGTTGCATATACATGTATTTTTGATGTTTTTCACTGGTGCCACGTTGCAATAAGTGATATGAAATGTCCTTCAGCTACAGAATGCTTATGTAAATACCTTGTGCTATAAAATTAACCTGGCCATAGTGCCTCAAAGGCCTTTATCTGATCCTATCTCATTTTCCTGCCTTTTGTACAGTCATATGAGCCAACTTATTTTTGCAGCTCCCCTCCAGGTGTGTTGCCTTAGCTCTCTGCAGCAATTGCCTGGCTGCTTCCACGAGTCATATAATCACTTGTATCTCCCAGCACCATGGAGCAACCACCCTGCTCATAGTGGTACCACAGCAACAGGAACCAGTAGGTGGGCTGAACACATTTCAGCACTTAGCCAGGCTGTCAGCACAAGTCTTATTCCAAAGAACAGGAAACAAGTACCTATTTGGGATGAGTTAATATTAATAGAGAGACAAGTCTGGTTGTGCTACACTGGTAAATTAGTTTTCTTTCATAAGAATGCACGGTATGAGGAAATGTGTGACAAATGTAGTCCAGAGTATGGAAATTCCATGTGTGTGTTTCTCAGTTTTGTAGGGCATGCTTGAGTATGTCTGCAGTCAGATTGCCATTTTGTTACAGCTTAGAACGCCTGATGTAGAAAAAAAAAATGCTTTAGTTTAATGGCCATGAACATAATAGAAAGTAATGGTTCACTTCGTACAGGTTTACTATCAACAATATGAATGTTTATCTGGCTGGTGGTTTTACTGTCTGACGTAGGTATCTTAAAGGTTAACACTTCAAGCAAGCGCAACAGGATTCTGTCTATTTGACTTGTCCTCTCCATTTCCAGGTCTTTAATGCTCTCAGCAGCGGTCTTGTGTTCCCCCATAACCAGTTTGTCACCAGTTACCATTAAGGACAGTAAGATGAGATAGGCTGTAATGCAATATATAGTATAGCAGCTGTGCACTGATTTTGGAGTAAGAATGAGTTTCCAATCTCTTCGTTAATAAGTTTAATGTACTGAATTTGTTCACTGGAGAATGTTGTTAAGTATTCGTGACCCACCCACTGCCATTGGCTTTAATTCTGCTTTTTTATTTTGACAGAGTGGTAGACATAAGGTAAAGTCTTACCCCTTTCAATAAAGCTACCTATGATTTAATGAGGGTAAGGAGAATTTGGCTCACTTCTAGTCCATCTTATGTGATTAGATCAGCAAGAGACCCAGTAGTTTAGGGCACAATGTAGCACTAGTCACAAAATCAACCATCGAAATAAGTTGAATCCATTGCGTGCAGGGAGAAAATACATATCTTTTAACTACCTGTCATCATAAGAAATTAACGTATTGTATTCTGTTGTGGTACAGGATCATGGCAAGTGGAGATGGAAGAGACCTGTTGGACCACTTCATCTCCAAGTGGCCTGTGCTGGAGGGACTGTCCGCTGCTACCAGGTTTATCCTAGGACAGAGAAATGGTAACGATCATAGTCTCCCTCCTTTGGGATTAGGTCCCTTGTTGTCTGATGGTATGCTTTTCTTAAACTTTGGAGTAAGGCTTTTAGATTTATGACCTGGCAGTTCTCCGTTGAAAGCTTTAATCCCTATATAAATACTCAGATTTGTTCATGTTTACAGTATAAACACATGTAAGGTAATTAGTCACGTTATTTGGGGGTAAACTCTTTGCACTTGCTGTGTCTGGCTCACAGAACCAAGTTGTCTTCTGACAGCAAAGTGCTCCAGGCACGGAATGAGGATGGGAGATGCCTCATGGACCTGCGGGATACAGGCAGCTATTCCCTGAGCCGGCTCCCGAAAGCGCCCGGATAGCTTTGTAGCCCTTGGGGGTGAGAGGCAGGTTTGAGTTGATTTTTTTTTTTTTTTTTACCCAAACTTTCCCCAAGCGCTAACGCGGTGGAGGGGGGGACCGGGGCCGGCTACCTTTATCCCGAGGAGGGCAAAAGCAAGGGGGCTAGGAGGCATGCGGGGGGAGTCAGGGGGGATGCGGGGGGAGCCAGCCCAACCCTCCCTCCCGGTCCCGTCCGAGCCGCCGCGGGGCTGCCCCGCGTCCCACCGGCACTTACCGGGCATGGGTGCTGGGGCTCCCGCAGCCAGGGCCTGGCTCCCATCGCCTCCCCCGCCCGGCGGTGTGCCAGCCGGTCCCCCCCAACCCGCTTGGCAGTGAGAGATTAGGAAGTGTTCAGATATGCTGGCAATGACTGCAATGTAAGAGACTAGACAGGAGAAAAAACCCAAAATCCAAGGAGTTGTTTGGGCTCTTATTTTACATTAGCATAAGCATTTACCTTAGCATGGCAGAAGTGCTAGAGCTTTCATAATAGATGAAAAAGGAAACCCAGGAGCACCTAATACAAAAGGTACCATTATTTTGGTTTGGTGTGTTCTTTCAACTATTCATCTATGTTGAACTGAGACTAGATCCTGGCATGAGGAACAAAGCAAAGCTCTGGGTTGTTTTCTTTCTAAGGATGCATGTGTTTCCCGATCTCTAAAGTCAAATTTAACTGTTCATTAAACACTGTTTCCTGAATCTTGATTATTTCAGATAAAACCAAATCTTGTATAATTTGGGTTTTGGGTTGGGTTGTTTTTTTTCCCCACGAGTAAAATTGAAAACTTAATAAATGTCTTTAATGTGAATATGAGGTATTCTGTTGTGAGAATTTCTCACAAGACCGAAGGTAGTCAATTGGTAATGGGCTTAGTATCTTCTTTTCTGCTGTTTGCTGAGTGTGCTAGAGTAAAAAGCTGGACTTCTGCAACTGTACCTTATACCCAGCCTGCCTTGGCCTGCAACTAAACTAGTACTGGTGTATCGAGATGTGACTGGGTCTCAACTGAGAACTGATCCTACCAGAGTATCCTCTGTCTGAAAATGAGCCCAAAGTGCAGAATTATCTTCCACTCTGCAGCCACGGGAGGCAGCTGGGGATGAGCTGAGTATGTGCACTGCCAGTTCTCAGGGTCTCCTCTGAAACTGAACCAACAGCCCTGGTGCTATCTCACAACTGATGTTGACTTTTTTCCTCTTCTCTGCTTTCAGGTAGAGATAACTGTGATTGTGCTTTATTCCTTTCTCATTTTTATCTGTCTGCACTTGGTAGATACCTTGCAGTTAGCCACCTCTGTGTGATGGAACAAGTAAATAAAGGCAAAACAAGCAGAAAATACTTAGTCAACAGTAATAGTGGCACAGTGGTGGGAACAAGTGAGTTGCATATACATGTATTTTTGATGTTTTTCACTGGTGCCACGTTGCAATAAGTGATATGAAATGTCCTTCAGCTACAGAATGCTTATGTAAATACCTTGTGCTATAAAATTAACCTGGCCATAGTGCCTCAAAGGCCTTTATCTGATCCTATCTCATTTTCCTGCCTTTTGTACAGTCATATGAGCCAACTTATTTTTGCAGCTCCCCTCCAGGTGTGTTGCCTTAGCTCTCTGCAGCAATTGCCTGGCTGCTTCCACGAGTCATATAATCACTTGTATCTCCCAGCACCATGGAGCAACCACCCTGCTCATAGTGGTACCACAGCAACAGGAACCAGTAGGTGGGCTGAACACATTTCAGCACTTAGCCAGGCTGTCAGCACAAGTCTTATTCCAAAGAACAGGAAACAAGTACCTATTTGGGATGAGTTAATATTAATAGAGAGACAAGTCTGGTTGTGCTACACTGGTAAATTAGTTTTCTTTCATAAGAATGCACGGTATGAGGAAATGTGTGACAAATGTAGTCCAGAGTATGGAAATTCCATGTGTGTGTTTCTCAGTTTTGTAGGGCATGCTTGAGTATGTCTGCAGTCAGATTGCCATTTTGTTACAGCTTAGAACGCCTGATGTAGAAAAAAAAAATGCTTTAGTTTAATGGCCATGAACATAATAGAAAGTAATGGTTCACTTCGTACAGGTTTACTATCAACAATATGAATGTTTATCTGGCTGGTGGTTTTACTGTCTGACGTAGGTATCTTAAAGGTTAACACTTCAAGCAAGCGCAACAGGATTCTGTCTATTTGACTTGTCCTCTCCATTTCCAGGTCTTTAATGCTCTCAGCAGCGGTCTTGTGTTCCCCCATAACCAGTTTGTCACCAGTTACCATTAAGGACAGTAAGATGAGATAGGCTGTAATGCAATATATAGTATAGCAGCTGTGCACTGATTTTGGAGTAAGAATGAGTTTCCAATCTCTTCGTTAATAAGTTTAATGTACTGAATTTGTTCACTGGAGAATGTTGTTAAGTATTCGTGACCCACCCACTGCCATTGGCTTTAATTCTGCTTTTTTATTTTGACAGAGTGGTAGACATAAGGTAAAGTCTTACCCCTTTCAATAAAGCTACCTATGATTTAATGAGGGTAAGGAGAATTTGGCTCACTTCTAGTCCATCTTATGTGATTAGATCAGCAAGAGACCCAGTAGTTTAGGGCACAATGTAGCACTAGTCACAAAATCAACCATCGAAATAAGTTGAATCCATTGCGTGCAGGGAGAAAATACATATCTTTTAACTACCTGTCATCATAAGAAATTAACGTATTGTATTCTGTTGTGGTACAGGATCATGGCAAGTGGAGATGGAAGAGACCTGTTGGACCACTTCATCTCCAAGTGGCCTGTGCTGGAGGGACTGTCCGCTGCTACCAGGTTTATCCTAGGACAGAGAAATGGTAACGATCATAGTCTCCCTCCTTTGGGATTAGGTCCCTTGTTGTCTGATGGTATGCTTTTCTTAAACTTTGGAGTAAGGCTTTTAGATTTATGACCTGGCAGTTCTCCGTTGAAAGCTTTAATCCCTATATAAATACTCAGATTTGTTCATGTTTACAGTATAAACACATGTAAGGTAATTAGTCACGTTATTTGGGGGTAAACTCTTTGCACTTGCTGTGTCTGGCTCACAGAACCAAGTTGTCTTCTGACAGCAAAGTGCTCCAGGCACGGAATGAGGATGGGAGATGCCTCATGGACCTGCGGGATACAGGCAGCTATTCCCTGAGCCGGCTCCCGAAAGCGCCCGGATAGCTTTGTAGCCCTTGGGGGTGAGAGGCAGGTTTGAGTTGATTTTTTTTTTTTTTTTTACCCAAACTTTCCCCAAGCGCTAACGCGGTGGAGGGGGGGACCGGGGCCGGCTACCTTTATCCCGAGGAGGGCAAAAGCAAGGGGGCTAGGAGGCATGCGGGGGGAGTCAGGGGGGATGCGGGGGGAGCCAGCCCAACCCTCCCTCCCGGTCCCGTCCGAGCCGCCGCGGGGCTGCCCCGCGTCCCACCGGCACTTACCGGGCATGGGTGCTGGGGCTCCCGCAGCCAGGGCCTGGCTCCCATCGCCTCCCCCGCCCGGCGGTGTGCCAGCCGGTCCCCCCCAACCCGCTATTTAAGGACCGGCAGCCCCTCCCCGGCCCGGCCCGCCCCCGCGGCCGCTGGCATCCCGCACCGGGGGAGGGGGGGGCTGGAAACGCGAGTTACAATAGAGACATCTGCGGTTCCCATCAGAAAAAAAAAAGTAAAGGGAGGAATTGGGCAGAAGTTCCAGCCTTACCCCGGCTATTCCCGCCCAGCCAGCCTGCGCTGCCAGCCCCAGGAGAGCAGGCCCGGGGGGACAGCCATCCCCGGCTGCTTTTAGGAGCCCTTCGCCGCTCCCGGCCGGCAGGGAGGAATAGGCAGAGAAGTAGCCCTTGTGCTGGGTACATCTTCGGCCAGCCCCTAAAAACACCTGCGCGGCACTGGGTGTGCGAGGTAACTGCGAAAACTACAATCGTCCTCAGAAAGAGGATTGGAAAGTAGCTTAATTTGGAAAAGAAATTAGCCTGCACTCGTTTCAGACTTTTGATAAAATGCATAAACACAAAGGAACACAGAAAGTCTGCTTAGACAATTGCAGTCGCAGCTTTTCCTATTTGTATTTAGAAATGTAATGATCTTTAATCTCTTGCGTGTGTAATAAATACAGCCATTAGATCTTAACTAACAAAATTACTCATGTATAGTTCAGAAACAAAATCATAGAATCGTCTAGGCCAGAAGGGACCTTAAAGATCATCTAGTCCAACCATCAACCTAACTCTGACAAAAAAATAAATAAGAAATAAGAAATAAAAATCACTAAACCATATTCCTGAGGACCATGTCAACCTGTCTTTTGAACACCTCCAGGGATGGTGCCTCAGCCACTTCCCTGGGCAGCCCATTCCCATGCTGGATAACCCTTACGGTGAAGAAATGTTTCCTAATATCCAGTCTATTCACCTTCACCACTTCTTGCCTGCTAATGCATGCTTCCTTCTCAGCTGTTTCCTAATATCCAGTCTAAACCTGCCCTTATTCACCTTCACCACTTCTTGCTGCTAATGCTTGCTTCCTTCTCAGTGAGTACAACAAGAATCCATACCTTAAATTTAACAACTCTCTGTATTATACATGCTTGTTCTAGTCACAACTGTTGCATACATTTGCATACTGCCATTTAATCTAAAAGCCAAAGAAATATGTAGGAATTAAACCGGTAGGATTCTAATGAAGTATCGTCTGTTTCTGTGGAATCTTAGAATTCTTTCAATTGCATTTTAAATGCCCTGCTGTAGATACTGCATGCTGAGCTTTTTCTATTAATTGCTAAGTCCTCTATAAGTAAGGAAGTATTTAGATAATTTTTACTCTAAAAAGAAAAAGCTCCATATATTTCAGTTTTGCACTTTTAATATAGTTATATATTGAATAAGTATTTCATAGCCAATGCTTTTGCTATTCTTATTTCTATGTTGCGTTAATAGTAATATTGAAGTATGGCTTTTTTGCTCAGCAGTTTTGCACTTGTCAGGGGAATTTCTATAAGCAAGTTTGAGACAACTGAAAGCTTTGAGTTGGCTGCCATGACCAAGAACTGTCTGCCTTCTGTCACAGCGTTCTTGTTTGAGTTCACTTTTATGTCTGTGTGAGGGGTGCTTTGAAGTTGCTTTAAACATCTGGCTGCTGTGCAGAATGCTTCTGAACAGTTGAAATTCTCCTGGCCAGATGCACTGTCTCTGTCTCCCATACAGGCTGTGCTTGTGTAGAGGGTGTGAAATGTGTACGTCTGGGAAGCAACAACCATCTGCTGATTCAGCTCTTGTTTCAACAAGTCAGTGGATGGGATGGGGTGAGCTTGGAGAGGCAAATCTCACCCTCTCTAAGGTCCTGTGGAAGGAATTAATGGCAAAGATGCTAAGCAGGGAACTTTAGTTTTGATTCTGTGCTGTACCACAATCTTCCTGTTCTTTAGTCTTTCTGTGCTGAGTTCTAGCACCAGTTGGAAATCAAAATAAATATAGGATGTGAGGAACGCAATTATGCACTCCTTCAGCCCTGTTCACTAACCTCCTTCCTTGCTCTAATTCTTTACAGGTTCCCTGTTTCCTACTATACATTATGACACTTCTTGGCCTTTGAAAACCCACATAAAAATTCCAATTGTAACTACAAAACTGTATTTACTATACTTCAGAATAATCATCAAGATGTCCTAGTTTAGAATACAGGGTAAAGGATGCTGCATTCTCCCCGGTTTTTAATGATTTTTGAGGTACTAGCAACAAAAGTAAGAAGTGAAGTTCCCAAATAGTAACATATAATACGTATTTCTTCAGTATGTTTTCCTTTGTGTTCTGTTTTTCTAACTCTGGTGACACATTCCTATCGCATTTTTGAAAATATACATTCTCATGATACTGTACAGCTCATCATCTGGGGAGTTACCAAATACTGTAATTTTTACTGTGTATGTCTGCCACTGCTTTGCTTTTAGGTAATTAGGTAGTCTTGTTTTGAACTCTGAAATGAGGATACCATTTTTTGTGGCTATAGGGTGGAGGCTTTCTTCCTGCTTTGGCAAAGCTGAAACTGATGCTGAAAAGGCAGATATGGTCACTGGGAGAGATGTGGAGAAAAGGTAAGCCTGAAAATCTGCTGTAATGTTGCTGTTTAACACTGAAAAATAGAGAAGCTGGAAATGGATTATAGTCTCTTAAGGAATTGATTTAAAAAGTAAGAACACTCAAACTAAAGAATATTCTGTCACAAAACAGTTTTCTAAAATGTTTTAATTTAAAAACAGTGTTGTCACATTGCTCGTGTGACACCAACTTAACAAACACATTTGCATCATTAATCATATGATATTCTTATAATTTCCACTAGAGTGGGTGAAATTGAAATGTATCTATTTTTTACATTTTATATTTTTGTGAAATATTTGTTCAGCACCTTTTATATCATTCTGTTTACAATCAAGTTGACTGCGTGTAATTACTTAATGCTGTTTTTATGAACACCCCATGACAGGACAGAAATACTTAGAGAAGAATCACAAGCATCAGTAGATCCCTCTAATCACAAGTAATTCTAGCATATTTCAGTTGACAGGTTCCCTCAGAAGTCTAATTTATTAATAATCTTAAAGTTACAACAGATCTCTTTCAATGAAAGGATTTTTTAAAATTTTATCCTTTTTTTAAAAAAAGCAACTTTAATCCCTTTTGGCAGCCCTAGATTGATCTTTAAATTCAGGCATTTTAAGTGAAATGTATTCAAGTTCTGTTTTCACACCCACTTCCTTATATTTGGGATTTTTGACTTTCATGTTGGTGGTACCTTCAGCTGGAATGGTGTCTAGAAAGAGGTAGACTTTTTTTTTCCCATTAAAATGTGACTAATTTTATTGAGTTTGGTGAATCAGTCAGGGAGAAAATAGACTAGGGTCTGCAGGGAGCATTGGTGGGCATCCGAAGTACAACAAATAGATTACATCAAGAAGTATAATTGTGAAAGGCAGAAATAAAGAGTACTTAGGAATTTCTATAGTGCCTTTCATTCCCAGGCTCCCAATTTCTGCACCAGCATTAATTCCTGGTAGTTAACCATCACAAAAACTTTTTGAAATAATAGTTATTGCTGTCCTTATTTCATAGGCTGTTTAATAACAAGTTTCTCCAGGTTCACACTTGTGTAACTGAGATAAGAATTTCTCCCACAATCTGTTGTTGGCCTTGGACTAACATCTAGTTCTTAGCTTTAGCAGGCTACGGATAATTGACTGTTTCAGAAACGAAAATGTGAAAGGAAGATGTACTCTGTCGTAAAATGCCCTTTGGAATAATTCTGGGAATAATTTGTTAGTTTCCTTTCAAAAGACAAGATGGCAGTGGGAGAGTAAGTACATCCAGAAGGGAATGAGTCTGCCAGAATTGTTTTCTCTCAGCTTCACTGTTGAAGCTCTAAGCAGTCTAAGATGTGTTTTCGGCTGCAATCCAGAACAGCTCTCCCAGTAAAATTACAGGCATCAAATGAGGATAGAGACAGGGCCAACAGGAAAAAATCTTCAAAAGCTGCCATGTTTGGTGCCTCTAGAAAGGCCTAGGGAGAAAGACAGCAAAAGAAGAAAAGAAGGGACATAGCATTAACCCTATTTAAAAGGTCTGGATTCCTACTTTGGTATTTCATCTTAGCCTGGTAAAACCCCTGACACTGCAGCGAGCCTTGCTATTCTTCAGGGAGAGGCAGGCAGGATGCTTTCTGGACCTTGGCAAACCTTCCACCTGAGTGTTCCTGCCCCATCAGTCTCCTTCTGGCACAGAACTGGTCAATGGAGCCTTGGGCACACGAAAAACTGCTACAGCTTGCACACAGCAGGTGATGCAAGACACATTTTTTCCGTGCTTTGATACTCATCTTTCCTTAGGTATTTGAAGTCCCTGGCAGACATGAACCCACAATGCATTCTCTCTCTCTTTAGTGCCTTCTTACAAATCTTTTCAGCAGTGTTATAGTTTACCTACTGATATGAAAGTATACACGGGTAAAGTCTGCATATCAGCACTTCTACAGAACTCAAAGGTTTTCCCTTTTTTTTTTTTAATACTTTTTCCTTTTGCTTCTAGCATGCTCTGTTGGGGTTGCCTAGGAATATAATTTCTGCAAGCTACAGCACCACCTTCCGTCCGAAGTTGGGCTTTGGTGTGAATCGACAGAGGAAGCCAAAAAGTTTTCTTGAAGGTGACTTTCCTTTTTTATTCTGTATAAAACACAATGCAGAAAATGTTGAATGTTTACTCCTTTCAATTGACTTTTCCTTCCTGTGTTTTACAGTAGGAATTTCAGAAATACCAAGTCTACTTTTAGTGGAACGTATTTTCATGGTTTGGGGTTTTTTTGCTAGTCTAAATTGTATTTGGAAAGTTAGCAGCTGTTGCTGTTTTAAGAAAAACAGTACAAAATGTTCCTTTAAAATTACTTTATTAATAGTGTCCAGGTTCACAGATGATGCGCACAAGGCCTGTAGAGATTTTTGCAGAGAAAATTACTTGCAAAGCTCTGGCTGGAATGGCTTTAAAGCTTTTTGGGGACAATATCTGGCTTTTTGTTCTGGTTTTGTACACCACCTGGCCTTGGTAATAGTAATCTAAACTTTGTAACTACAAGGTCTTGCAAGATTACTTATGTACACATGGGAAATAAACCATTCACACAGCTGTGGTGATGAGCACCAAATATTTCTCTAAGGCAAGACTAGTTTTTATTTTATGCAATATTTCCTAACTCTCACTCCCTCTGGAATACATAATGAATTTAAAACCCTGCTGTGTGTAGCAACAACAGATTTACAGATGTCATCCCATACATTTTTGCATTAAAAAAAAAAAAGGTGCCCAAAAGCCTGGGCAAGACTGCAGTGACATCTTGAGGTTCAAGGATGTAAGAAAGTAATTTTAAAAATCCTTAGAGTAGGGGAAAAAAAGAACCAACTTTTCATATAATTAGGCCCTTATTTCATCTGCGTAAGTGATCCCTTTCTCTTTGTGAGGCGGCCGGAGGCTCCATCCTTGGGCTCCCTCTGCAAACTGCTGCCCAGGGCAGAGCTGTAACATGACTGACACCAGCTGCACCCAGCTGCTGGCTCTGCCAGAATAAGGTTCAATAAGGTCAGAATCCCCTGGGAGAACACCCTAATGTGTAAAGGAACTCACTAGAAAAAGGCACTGTGCCTGTTCTTACACTGCTTTTGCAACAAATAATAAGGCATACCTGATCCATTTGCAAAATATTTGTCTAGCGCTGATAGTATCTAGTATGCATCAAAAATACATAATGACCTCTCCTAATGACCTAATACAATAGGATTTGACTCCAAATACATTCAGTTCCAAGTGATATCAAACAGCTTTGGCCTGCGAGTGAGTCCTCAATACAAAGGGTTAGAAATTAAATCACGTATAGTGTAGATAACAAGTGTCACATGGGCAACAATGCAGCAGCTATGTGAACTGTTCCATTGGTAGCAAAAAAAAAAAAAAGAAAAACAGAAAAAAGACCCAAACCAAAAAACCCCGCAACGCCCCAAAACCAAAAAAAGCTTCATCTTAACTCAAGTCCTTTCACAAATCTAGGTTAGAGCCTAGCTAGGATGGGGCCAAAATACGCTGATGTGGGCACACTTCATGTAATAATGACTACAGCTCTGACTGCTGCAGCAAGAATGCAGCACACTCTTCCTGTTGTTAGCTCCTCATTTAAAATGGATGTGAAAATGTTCTAGGAAAATGCAAGAAATAGGAGAAGGATGGGAGTAAATCTTTCAAATTAAGAAGAATCAGTGTCATTTCCACAGATATTGTTACCTTGCTTTACTCAATGTCTGAATGCTAGAAAGCAATGTTTTTTTCCCTAGCAGCTAAGTAAGTAAACAATTTCTGTCCCTTTCCCAGGCTGTGGCTCAAATGGTAGTCTGTGGTTGGAAATGCTAGCCTGAAGGACACCTGCCTTCCACTAGCCAGCTTATTGTATAACTTGGGCTGTATGTATGGAGAAATACACTAGTTTCTAGGACTTTAATTGATACCTTTTTTTTTTCCCAACGTAGTTTTGCCTCAAAGAATGAATGAGATCTCTGACAATCTATTTGTTTATTTGACAACCAGGGGTTGAAGGATGGGAGAGAGTTAAAAAAGATTTTCTTTAGATTCCTGAGGCCTATGAGTCAGTACGTCCATGAGCAAAGGTTACATAAACTAATAGATTAGAACAAGATTTAGTTGCATAAACACTGTTACTGCATTGCAATCTGTCACGGAGTCAACCCTGCAGATTATTGCAGGCAGAGCTCGCCTGGGGCTTATGTCCATCTCGCTGCATTGGTACTGGATACACTTGAAATAGCATTATTCCCTTGCTGTGGGGCTGCTCTGGAATCTGTGTGCACTACTTTATAGGTCTTATTTGTGCAAGCCTTATTTAATATACAGTGCTCTTGCTCTTGGCTTGTGTCTAATTTGGAACATCACCCTGATATATTGGTTGCATAATAATTTTGTCTCTGTTTCATTTAACCAAGGGTCATTCCTTTTATGGGGGTGGTCCAATATAGGCAGCCACAGGGCACTTGATCCAAATCCTCTCCAAATTCTCCCAACTTTCCTGAAGCCTCTGTCCTCTCTCTCTTCCTTCCATCACACCCTCTCCCCAGTATATCCTGGGGGATGCCCTGAGCTCACCTGAGAGAAGCTGCTGGGACACCAGCATCAGAGGGCTCCTGCTGCATGGGGCAGAAATTCGGGTGGGTAGGTGTGCTAGGTGTGCTGCCTGAGCATATTGTCCAGGGAAAGGGAGCCTGGATTTAGGAGTTTTGAGTGGCCTGCAGTCAATCCACAGGCTGTGGGGCCAACAAACAACTACATTATGATGACTGTGGTCTCAATCGTGTGGGAATATTCCAGGTCACATGGAAAAACAAAGCCTTTCCTGCAGCTGCAGAGCTGTTTTTTCAAAGCGCATCGGGGCCAGAAACTATGCTCCCAGGCTGCAGTACTTTCCTCTCGTACAGGGTTTTCCTTGGTGCTTTCCTCAGCTTCTCGCTGATACCATTTCCTCATTTTACATCTGGGAATTGAGGCATTAGATTCAAGGCTTTATTTAGATACTCAACTCCCATTTTCAGAGCTGTCTGTACAGCATGTTTTGCCCACAGCACTCAGCTCTGGGCACTGCCTAAGATCTAGAAAAGACTCTAATACTTTTGTTCCTATGTGTTGTCCAAAGACAAAATCTTTTTTTTTTTTAATCATACCATTTGCAAAAGTAAATTAAAGAGATTTAGTATATACATGGATGTGTTTTTGAATGCTTTTGAAAAGAGTTTATATCCAAATTTGCAAGAGTGTCTTGGTGGATCAGTCAGGACAGAATTATTGGTGACTTTTCAAAATGTAATGTTTTGTACTGTTGTTTTTCTCTGGTAGCAGGCCTGGGGAGCCCTGCTGGCTTATGTGGTGCTGGCTTGTCTCCTTTCCACTTGAGAGTAGCGGAACAGATGGAAGGCTAGCAATGAAATGCAGAGCAAAGCTAAACACGTGATTAAATTCTCAAAAAGGCCAAAGCCCTTATTGCCTGAAAGGCAGCTTAAAGCTACTCCAAAACTGGCTTCAAGGGTTATTTTTTTTGTGATTATTTATTAGTTTTTGCTACTGGATATTAAGCAACTGTAGAGAACAGAGGAGATGTTCTGGTGGTTGTGCATGGGAGGAAATGAGATCTGGGAAAAGCAGAAGTGAGAGCAGAGTGCCCATGTGATAGTCCCTTGATTTAAGATAAGATTTATGGTTTCAGGTAATGAAATCTTTGGTTTATAACAAAGTGTGCTTAAAAGAGGGATCTTGTTTGCATTCTCCATAATCAGCTGTTGCTCTATTCATTTGACAACCAAAGAAAAAAATAGTGCTATGTAGAGATTTGCTAAGTCTTTGAAATATACGAGATTGCTTATATCAGCAGGCTGCCTTGCAAACTGCCAGGGCAAAATAAAGGCAGAAGATCTGGTCTGCTTTGTTGAGAAAGCTGCTCTAAAATCCAAGATGAAAAAGAAAGGAGATGACACAGCTCAAAACCACCAGTTTTCACAGTACTAAAAAGCCTGACAGCTTTCAAAAAGATTAATCCCACAAAGAAGAGTACTACATCTATGTTGCTCCTTGAAACAAGTCATGCTAGCAGTGTTACAGCATTCTTCCCAAGATGAATGTAGATGACCTGGCAGATTTCATAATGATTTTATGAAACCAACAGATGAGATAAACCCACACAAATCATCTTTCTTTTCACAGAAAAATAAAATTTCAGAATAGAGGCTTATTCATAGACCATACTTGCTATAATTGGGCTGTCTAACCAGCAGTTATCTTCTCCCAGGCAGAAGCAGCAGAAGTCATCACACAGCTCACTAGATATAAACACTCTAAATGTGTCTGACAGCTATTCTTTTCTAAAAATAGATATGCAGCCCACTAACCTAGCATATCCTTAACTATATGTGTAAAAATGGCTTTTTTTTCTATTGATCTATCTTCTGTATATAATAGTGGAGTCCATAAAGAGTAAGGCTGTGTTACTGCTTTTTAACAGTGATTTTTATTAGGCTATTGTATGCATTGTAGTGCAACTCAGGCCATAAGGATCTCTAGGGGAAGGGTTCAGTCTCAGCTTTTAAAACACCAAATGCTCATTGGATTAAATGAATAAATCACCCTTAGAATAGAGGCTGGACCCCAGTCCTCTGTCCCCATATTGACTAATCACTAGAACAGATTGCCGTGTTCACTCTCACTTTTTTCCTAATTGCCAGTGGATCTTCAAGTTGTCAGAGCCAAGTGTTGCCTTATGCAGGCTAAAAGTATTCATGCACACTGGCCCAAGCAAACTGTTCTACAGCAGTCAAGGCCAGCCCAAGTTGGTGTGGTTTTATACACACACGTATCCCCACCCCCCCGCAGGTGTTCACACTCTGCCTTAGCACTAGTGCTCATCTTACCCTGCTGTGTAAAGTTTTCACTGTGAGTCTGAGGAGTGCCGGGAGTGGTAGGGGAAGGAATGCAGAAATAACACAGGCTGGTTTATACTTTTGGGACATGACAGTAGAGGTAAGTCGTGATTCTGATGGTTATTTGGACATCGGTATCTAAATGCTGCTTTCTGGGACCGGTTCTTAGTCAGTCAGTACTAGGAAGTGTGAGAATTTGAGAAGAACTCATTTTCTTAAATAACTCCTGTACATGAGAAGATGGTCTACAGTTACAGATATTTTTAATAAGTATTTATATATAAATGGCATTGCTTTCTGAAGTGGAACTTTAACATGTGATCAGATGGATTCTATCTGTAAATTATGTTTGAGTTACCTATGTTGCATGTTTGTCTAAAATTTTAAATTCAAGTTTTTGTGATATTGCTTATCCGACAGAACGGCTTTCTTTGTAAAATTCTCTGTTAGAGATAATTGTGCTTCTTATGTCAAATGGAAGGTGATGGTCAGTTTTATGTTTTCAGCCTCAGGTGCATTTCACTTGTGTCAAGTGTGTGTGAAAACGCTTGCTGTGCTAGCTCCTATATCGGATGATATGGAATTATTTTGGGTATCTGAACATAAGCAAAAACTGACGTATGCAGTATGGCACTGCATACAGAATACCATTTTCAATAAGGGACTAGCAGTATCTAGAGTGGAGAGCTTCTGACTGGTTATAAGTATAGCAAAAGTTAAGTTTGGCTATGGTGCATTAGTCACTGAAGGCGCTCTCTATTACTTTTCAGAAACACTCAAAAATACTTTACAATGGAGATATCTAAGACCTGATCCAAATTGACTGTGGCAGATGACATTCAGGCAAACGAGCAGTGTTACCCACAAGACAGAATATTGTTCCTGGAGGGCTACATTATTGTTGGAGACTAGAACATATTCCAGAAATGCATTAAGCTAAAATCGTGCTGGTTGCAGGTGCAGTTTCACTGGCTTAAGTGGCTTTGAATCGGCAGACAGCGAATACCAGCCTTCCAGGGTTTTACATACAGAGCCCCTGGACAGAGATATAGGAACAAATTGCAAGCAGGGCTTTTGTGAGTCAGCTCAGAGGGCACTTCCAGCAGGGCATTCTCCCACTGGGGACACTTGAACCTGCCTCCTCAAAGAGCAGCTCTGCCAGCAGCAGAGCTCGGGGGGTTCAAGGCTGATGGAGGACTTCAGCAGCCGTGGCCTGGGCAGGTCTAAATCACCCCACCTGGCATGAAAAAGTTACTACAAATGACAGTCCAGGCAGAGCAAGAAAAGGCTGTAGGGTTATAAATGGGAAGGGGCGAGCAGAGGGCTTCGGTAAAAGTTCTTAGGTCTCATATAGAGGAACCAAGACATCAGGATGGTTTTCCCACCCCATACTCTCTCCTGAAGAGGGGTAGCTGGCTGAAGTGGGGTTAATGAGTTTTAGGTTAGACAAAGGGTTTCTGGTCTAGGAGTAGGCTGCTTCTCTCTCAGATGTGGAAGCCCTGATTGCTGGGATGGAGGCTGAGGTGACAAAAACTGGCCTGCGGGTCTGACAGCTCTGCCCAGTGGTGTCCTTCTTTAGCAGGCAAGCAGAGCTGACTGCCTTTCCTCACATGAGGTGACTCAAAGTCATGGGGCTTGTGGCTTGCTTTCTTATGATCTTCAAGCACCCAAATCAGTAAACAGTAATTTTGAAAGCTCTTTTCCATGGCTGGGTGTAGGACTTCAATTTCATGAAATTACACACATTCTCACATGTTTAAACTCTGGGCGGAATTCTCAGGGAAACATGAATGCTAGTGAGGCTGAGCAACAGTCACAGAACTGTTCTGCAACAATCTTGCTGGAAAACAACATTTCCTTTCTTCCCAAAGCAAATTCATCAACAGTGTCTGGATTTAGCCTAAGGTATCTGTAGGCTATTGATTTCTCTGTTACCTTTAACTGTCAACTTCGTTAAAGAAAGGTACAGAATAAATTCTCCAAATGTGAATTTGAGATATCTTTGCACCTTTTCTCAATAAATGTATAATGAAAAAGCTCTGTGCCAGTTGCATCGTTATGGATGCCCAGACGCGTAACCTGTTGAGGTAAAAGTTGGTCGCCACTATCTTTCAGTAAGCACATTTTGGTGCTTCTAATTAAAATAGTCAACCTTGCTGGACATACCAAATCCAGGTCAAGAGAAATATGCAACTTCTTCCTGTAGAGGGCTTTAAGAAAAAGAGAAATGCAATATTATCTGCACATTGTACTCTTTGTATGTTCTTGGGACACCAGTTGGGCAACTTGGGACAAATATGGAAGATGCATTTGACTGGAAGGGTCACACACTGAGCTGTTCCACAGCTGGACACTAGGAACCATGGAACAATTGGAATAGCTACGAGTGCCAGGGGTGTTTCTCATCATGTCAGCCAAAGTCTTTTGCTGCAATAAGGAAGGAAGCAAAATTCTCTGGAGTTGTCCTCTCCCTGCAGCACCAAAGCAGTGCTATACCACCGGGGGAAGAGTTGCCTGGGCATGATCCTGGGCCTCCAGGAACACTGATAAGAGTGCTCTGGAAGGGACGGGTTCAAGGAACTTCTGTTTCCGGCCTTAACGGAAGGACGCACAAGGTCAGCAAAACCAGCTGAATTCAAGTGCCTACTCTGCTTCATTGCTGAAATAAATGTGGCAAGTGAAATCCAGCAGGCAGAAAGCTGCTGCTGACCCGTGCGTGGCTGTTAACCCCTGAAATGCTTCCTGACCTGTAGCCCAAGGGAGTTATCACTCAGTGAGTGCATGGGGGTGTGTGTCTTAGGAACAAAGCCTGGAAGCACATAGAAAATGACTGGGTTTGCAGCCCATTTTGAAGACTCAGGGAGCAATCTTGTATTCCTAAAAGCATCGGG